ACACGCACACAACACCAACACGCACACAACACCAACACGCACACAACACCAACACGCACACAACACCAACACACACAAAACCAACGCACAAGACTACAAGACAAGACCACGGGACAAGACTACGGGACAAGGCTACAGGACAAGACTACAAGACAAGGCTACAGGACAAGACTACAAGACAAGACTACAAAACAAGACTACAAAACAAGACCACAAGACAAGACCACAGGACAAGACCACAAGACAAGACCACAGGACAAGACCACAAGACAAGACCACAAGACAAGACTACAAGAAAAGACTACAAGAAAAGACTACACGAAAAGACTACAAGAAAAGGCCACAGCAAGACGAGCCCACAAGTAGACAAGACCACGGGACAAGACTACAGGACAGGAGTACAGGAGAGGAGTACAAGAGAACAAAGGCACAAGAAAGGACTACGGGAGAGGAGTACAAGAGAGGAGCACATGACAAGAGGAGCACAAGACGGGCCAACAAGATAGGAGCACACCAAGGCGAGACCACACCAGGACAGGAGCACACCAGAACAGGAGCACAAGGCAAGACTACAAGACAGGACTACAGGGCAAGACCACAAAGCAAGACGACAAGACAAGACGACAAGACAAGACCACAAGACAAGACCACAAGACAAGACTACAAGACAAGACTACAAGACAAGACCACAAGACAAGACCACAAGACAAGACCACAAGACAAGACCACAAGACAAGACCACAAGACAAGACCACAAGACAAGACTACAGGACAGAGCCACAAGACAAGACCACGGGACAAGACTACAGCAGAACGAGACCACAAGACAAGACCAGGGGACAAGACTACAGGACAGGAGTACAGGGGAGGAGTACCTACAGGAGAGGAGTACAAGAGAGGAGCACAAGACAAGAACACAAGACAGGAGTACAGGACAGGAGGGACTACAGGATCGATAGGAGCACACCAGGACAAGACTACACCAAGACAGAAGCACGGGACAAGGCTACCTGACAGTCTGGAAACGTCTAGAGACGTAACAGAAACCGCGAGCGAAGCCCCAGGGGTCTAGTATTGAATATGAAATGTGGACACCTATTGAAAGTTGCGACAGCCGTAGTTACCTACGAGTGCTAGCAACTTTACACACGACGAAGACAACCTAACAAAAGTGGCGCCTCGAATATTTACGCAATGAAACAAAGAACTTTCGTCGTAGCGCCTTCTTTTCCTTCTGCTTTTCGGCTAGTTGGAAGCGCGTGGCCAAAATCTGCGAGACGCAGTCGGTAACCGGTGGCGGCGCCTGTGGCTTCGTCTCGCTTTTGTTCTACAAGAATGTTCTCTGGTTTGATGTCGCGGTGCGCGTAGCCGAGAGTATGCAACCCGGAGACAGCTCTCACAAGATCGCGGGTAAATCCGTCGAACAAATTGAAAAAACCGCTCGCCACCTCTCCTTCCTCGATACTTGCGCGAAGCTCTCGGCTGTCGATAAAGGAGACCATATCCCCGAGCGGAAAGTAGTCTTGGACGTCAACGATTTCGAGCTGACTCACGAGCCCGGCGCCCCTGCTTTCCTGGATGGATGTAGCCCACACCTCGCGCGTAGGTGCCACCCGGTCCCCTATATTTTTGCTAGCGTCAAGGCTGACGCAAATTCTTTTCAGTGCATCATTGAAAGCTGCTGGAATGCCGTCAGCTCTATACTGCGAGTTTCCAGTGAGATGCTCCCAAACGTCTCCGGTAGTAAGTTCAGGCGCGCGCCGCTTTGGCTGTATTGGCCGGGCAAAGAAATTTTGGATCAAAGCACCCGTATGCCGCAGGACGTACGTCTTGTCGTCTAGGGCGAGTGTATACAGTGTCGCCTCGGGGCTAAGTTCCTCTGCCATTTTCTTGACGTACTTGCCAACGGCCGCAGGGTCCGGCGCCTTATCTTGCCGCCGCGAGGGGAGTAAAAGCGGGCGAGTCTCGCGACTGTCTCTTCAGGGACCGTGGGAGGAGGATCAACTTACGCACAGCTGAGAACACAGACGGCGACAGACCAACGCTCTCCCTAGAAACTGGCACTCTATTCCTACTTTCCGACCCTCCGTCCATATGTCAACACCCAACAGCAACGGCCTTGGCCCAAGTCCACACTTCTGCTCTTGTCTAACTCTAAAACTTACAACGGACTGCGCTACGGCCTCAGCCTCCCAGCTTCGAGGTATTTAGTCCACATAGTAAGGACAGCTCCCCCGCTAGGTGTCGGGACTTCGCTACCTTTAACGGGCGCGAGGTCGAGCCTGCGGATCCCGCGAGGGCTTGGATCCGAGGCCCAAGAGGTCAGGGGACTCCGCTGCTTTTTTCACACGCGCGAAGAGCTGGGCCTGGCGTGGAGTAAGTTGCTAGGCCTAAGGCGGCCCCCGTGTCAGTGGCTAGAACTAGATACGCTGCCACCGCCTCGAGAAGTTCGGCGCGTGTGGTGTTCGTTGCCTATGATCTTGTCGAGCTTGGGCCGGTCGATTACGACGGCGAAGGCTTCCCCTTTCCGGTTGTGTAGACAATGGACCCCCCTGCATAGGTCCGCCGCCCCTCTGAGGATGCGCCGGCAGCAAGGTAAGATGGGGCGAGGCGAGCGGCTGCGCCATCGCCTTATGTGACTTGTGGTAGCTGAGGTAGGGGGGGAGCCAAAGCCTAAGCCAACAGGCTCGCGCGTAGGTGGCTGCTTTGTTTCCTGCACTTCTTGAGGGTGTGGCAGATGAGTTCGCCCAGCCACGACTTGCACCGCGGTCAGGGGGGCTCTGTCCTAATTTTTGCTCTGGTGTGTTGGGTGCCAAACGTGGCGAGGCCGACCACTTTCGGGAAATCTCAGAAGTCGGGGCCTTCGTTTTGATCTGGTTGGAGAGCTTTCCCTTGGGGCGCTGCTGGGGTTTATTTTGCCATAATACGCCAGGAGCGGGCGTCCAAGGCGGACGGCTGTGCGGCTGGTTCCACGTTGATGCATAGTGGCGCAGTAGCCCTAGGATTTTTAGCGAGTCAGATTTTTCAGAGGATTGGCCCGCCACTGGCTTACCCGAGAGCGGTGCGCCCAGCGTGATTGCCAGCGGGTGAGAAGTGAAGGCCTTTGCCGGTATGGTCTGCCTTCTGGTGGCACCGCTGTAGCTTTGGCGGAGAGTGGGCACACCGAAGGCGATGGGGATAGCCGTCAGGAGTTCCGAGAGGCGGCAGAAGGCCAGCACTGAGGGCTCGGCCCCGTGTTGGGTCTGTTAGTAGCTGACCCAGTAGCGGCAGGCCCTGGCGCGGGGGTCGTGTCCCGTAATAGGGCAGCTCTTGGGGTCATCAATCCTGGAGAGGTAGTAGGCTTCCACGATGTCACCCGGGGCCATTCCTGGCGGCAGTTGCACCGATCCCGGACTCGTCTGGCAGAGGCCTACTATTGCGCTAACCCATCTACAGTCTCTCTCCGGGGGTTGGGGAGGTTGGTGGTCGGCTTAGCTTGTTCGAGTTCGTGCAGTAGCTGCTGGCGTGCTTCTTTCCTGTTTTGGTCTGGTGATGCTTGCCGAGAGATCGGAGCGCCTGTGACCCGTAGGCGGAGCAGGGTAGAACCTGGCGACGTCTGGCCTTTTCCGCGTGTCGTGGCGTTCTAACTTCTCAGAAGTGCGGCAGTAGAGGACTTCTGCCTAGTTATCGATGAGGGGGCGGGCCCTTTGTCGCTCCATTGTCGGCCCGTCTCTGGGGAAAGGTGTAGCAGGTTGGCACTGCAAGGGGCCCGCCGTGATTTCCTTGCCTGCGCCGTCCTTTTGGGGCCGGCGTCTGCCTCGGTGGTTTATTTTTGTCACTTCAAGGGGCGAGGCGTCGCCGAAGTCAGGCGGGAACCCTCTGAGGCGGATCGCTTTCCAGTAGAACTCAGCGGCCTCTGCTTCTGGGATAACAGGCGTTCCACCTTGGTCCCAAACGCCTGCGGCGTCACCATTGTGAATCTGGAGGGGCTACCCAAGGTCCTAGAGAAGCGACACAACGCACACAACGGCAGAAAGGCCAAGAAAGCCGCACCAAGTGCACGCGCAGGCGAATCGGATTCCTCAAGCAACTCGGGGAGCCCCGCGCCCAAGGCCATCGCCAGCGGCCGCGTTCGTGCGCTGGTGGTGGGGTCGCATGAATCAACTGACTCAACAAGGCCAAGCCTGGCCGTGAGTCAGTTGGTCTTGATTCAGCCAGAGGCCTGGCCCATTGGCTCAAAGCAGACCAGCCGAGCCACTGGCCAGGGCCTGAAGTGAAGGAGCTTAACACGGGTCCAGACGCTGGGCTTGGGGCAGGGGCTGCCTATGCTTGCGGCTGAATCGGCTAACCCCATGCACCAGCAAGCGAAACCAACTGACTCAGCAGCATCCCAGTCGGGGAGCTGCCAGACCATCCCCCCCAGCTGCCGCCTCCTTGGGTCTGTGTACTACGCTCCACCCCTTCAGAGCTTTGTCTCCCAAAGCTTGGGCCGTAGCGACAAGCCGAGGGAAGAGACTGGCACCGGAGCGAGTGAGCGGACTCACAGTCTGGCTCAAATCCAAGCGGAAGCGCGTCAAGCTGCGCTCTTTTCAGGAAAATTTCTTTCCCCGAAAAAGCTGCAGAAATAAACTCCGAGCCTGCTCCCCAAATAGTTAATAGAATCAGCGCCCAAGACTTCAGAATATGAATGCCGAAGATTGGACCCAAGTGGAGTGGACGACCCAAAAAGGCCGAGACTGTGGCTCGAGAGCCGAAATAATTGTGGCCCGCCCCTTTTTTTGGTTCGAAAATCGTCCGCGATTTACTGGACCCCAGTCGGCACTCGAACGACCAGAACCACCTCAGTGGTAAGGGGGGGCTCCAAGTCTTGGACTTTGTCAAAACAAGCCCAAAGCCTGCCCTTCAAGTGTAATGGGTTCACTTCTGAGATCGCTGCCTGCCGCTTGGCTCGCCTCCCAAGTCTGTAGCTGACATGCACACGGACCGAACTGCACACCTGAGGACGGTGGGAGCAACTACCAGGAGACCGTTGCACCGGCGCCGCCCCACTTCGGCTCGCTTTGACATGGGCGACCAAGCTCTACGGGGAGGCCTTCTAGTGTGTGCCAGGCTCAGGCATCCCTATTGGTGTGCCCGTCTTGTCGCATGGCCCTGCAGCTTGCTGTGGCGGCATGGCCGAAGTTGCCGCGTCGCTTTATGTGGAATGGTGACAGCCACACGGACCCGAGGCAGCTCCTGCTACTCAAGGCCACAACCGACGGCCAGCCACGCGCAGCTGTTTCAGGACTGGGCTGCCCCATATGGAGCGCGCCAATATCGCCGCCGAGCCATCGGGCGCGGGGTTTTTGGTAGTTGCCAGGGGCCGCCCATTAGGTTCCGCATTGGATGGACATGTAGCAAAAGGGAGGCAGAAAGAGGCAAGCCCTAGTGGGTGCACAGGTTTGAAAGTAATGCGCGCCTCAATTCTAAGAGCTTGGATTTCCTGCGCCTACACGTTGGCGATGGCGTTGAAGCCAGTGGGGGCCCTCTTTGTAAAGGTGGCACCGGGGTGGCCAGGGAGGTCCCCTAGCATTTTCGTCGCGCAGATGTTCCAGATAGGTGGCAGCAGTACTAGCTGCCGAAGGTGACGCGGGCTCTGGTTTTCAGTCTCGCGTCGATTGTCGTCGATCGATGGCATGCAAGTAAGGGCATCGGGGGCATCGCGCTGCCCCTCCCTCTGCTACTCTTGTGAGCCACGTCGGGGGCCGTTGGTTGCGGCCGTGTTTTTGTAGGTATATCGCGCCAGCATATTCTTTGCACGGTCGTAAGTCAACTGGTGGAGCCCAAGCCGCTACGCTACTGCTTCACCCAGCCAGTTGCATGGCCGTCCTATTTAGTGCGAGCAAAGCTTGGCAGTCATCTGGTTTGGTAGCTTCCCTGGCCCGGTGTGGGGGCGTGGGTTTTTTTCAAAGTTCTACTCTGTCAACGACTAGCTATGACCCCAAGAGCCGCGCCCCTGCCCTTCCTCATTATGGCTGCACCTGGTCCCTACGATTGGCCAGCTATGCACTTCCACTCTGCTCCGTTACACACTTCGCGGCCTCCAGCCAGGCAACCAAGTGCTTCACTTACGTAGGGGCCCGCAGCTGCTTGCCCTTTGCGTTTGGTGCGTAGGTCCCTGGCAGTCCATCAGAGTGCCCCCGCTCCTTGGTGGTTCATGCGGGGGCCCTCTACTTGGTTGGTACGTAGAACAAGGCCCGCGCTGCTGTCGCGTTCAGCCAGCTCTTGCGCCGGTAGCTCCTGCGCATTCTGTGCTTTGCGGTTTTGCTGTTTCTGGTCAGGCTTCCGGACGGCTTTCCGCGGCGTAGTAAGTTCCCAAAGCCACAAAGGCCACGACCACGAGCCACCCCGGGCCAAATGTCCAGACGCGTGCCCGCCAAGCGCCTTGCCCCGGCTCCACTGCTGGCCTGCTACGAAGTGGAGCGGCTTGCGACTGTTTGAGCGTCTGGCGCCCAGCCGTGGGCGGCTTCTTTTTCATGGCTTTTGCAGGGTCTTCATTCGAGGCGTTTTATTTTGCAATAGTGGCCCTCAGGGGTCGCTTAAATGGTGCTGGCGTCCCTTCAGTATCAGTTCATGAATGGCACCCACCCCTTCCATCCGCGAGGAAGTTCTCGCGTGAGACGCAAGCGGCCGCGCCGTGTTTGCATGCTTTGGCTGCGCGGAGCGAGTCGATTTCTTCTACTTCCTTAGCGCGGGCCCCTTTCCTCGTCGCCTCGTAGGTCTTACCTCGTTCCTCCTTAAATAGTAGCAGGCAGCTGGGCTTGGTTTCTGTCCTGGGTAGAGTGGTCCAAGGCCCCGCCGACTGGGAAGAGGCAGGCGGCGTCATGCTCGGCGTGGTCCTTCACGTAGCATAGGAATCGCGCCGCTTCTAAGGTGCTCCATCCACGTGCTTTCAGCAAATAACCCCCGAAGACAAAGCGGCAGCCAACCGCTATGGCCGTGGCAGCCGTGACTGCATTCACACGACGGGGCGAGTGGAACTTCGCACCAAGTTTTTTCATGACGGCCGCCGCGTGCTTCTCGTCAGCGGCTAGCGCCGGTGGCGGCGTGGATTTATCGCAGATGGGGCACAGGTCACGCTCCCCCTTGTTGGGGCAGTTACAGCTTAAAAGTGATAAGGATGGCCAATCATAGCGCGCCGCCCAGTATGCTACGACTACGAGCCAACGCGACAGCTAGGGCGCCCCCTTTGTCTGCTACCTTGTCGCGAATGGTCGCGACAGAGACGCAGCCCCTATGGTAGGCGAAGCGATGACGCCGCAGCTCAGAGACGCTGCACCATCAGACTCCGAGTAGAATCCCTCGGCGGATGATGGCCCTCCCATCACCCGGGGGCCGTCGACATGCCGCGAGGTGTATTGTTGGGCCTTTCGGCAGTTCCTGCGCCATACAAGTGCGCCAGATGTCATTCTTCGCGAAGTTTAGTTCTTTTATCGCGCAAGCGCGTGGCCCCAGCCATTCACTGGCAAGGCTGATCTGTGTCGGGTGCCAGCTCCCTCCGGGGTTAATAAAGTGCGCGAAACTGCTGCGAAGTATGTACTCGCCAGCTCGCTGCGCGATGACTGTCATCGGCTTGGCTTTGGTAGCGGAGACCCAGAGCCAGGGGCAGAAGATGCGTGGCCGCTCGATGAATATGGTAAGGCGCACGCGCTGCCGGTGTGTGGTGGTTTGCCCAATAGTTAGTTAGCCGCGAAAGATATGGGGCGCGTGTTTCTGGTTGACTAGTGTGCCCTCCGCATGCGCTTGGGGCTGCAGCGTGATGCCTTCGCTACTACAGTAGTGGGCGGGCATATGGTGCTGCCCCTGCCCCCGTGTGGGGTTGGTAGCTCTGTCCAATTTTAGCGCCGGCGTGTCCGTGTCCGTTTGCAGCTCTTCCCGCGCTCGAGGAGTCCACTGCGGGCCGCCGAACGCTGGGGCGTGTTGTGCGCGGTGGGCTGGTCGTGGCTGTCCTCGCCGGTTCGTCGGAGGCATGGGCTGGAGCCAGGCGCCCCCTGTCAGGGTGTGACGGTGGCGAACCTGCCGCGCGTCTTGTGTCTCCCGGCTATCTACTAGCAAGCGCAGCCATATGCAATGGGTCCCCGCTACCTTCTACGGTGGTGCATCGAGCTCGCGCTACCCATCATAGGGCATCCACTCGGGCGCCCCTCGGTGCATTTTTGTTACTCTATAGCCCAGCCCCACTTGTTCACTCCCTCCCTCCGTAGATGTTTGGGCGTGGTGCCTTGTCACTGCATTATTCAAAGCAAGGACTTCGGACACTTTTGTGCGCGGGCATATGGCACAAGGCTGCACGCGTCGAAAAGTCTACGATGTTGCGGCGCCGTATTTATTATTTATAAGAACGCGCTCCATTTTGGTACCTGTTTCATGCAAGGGCGTCACTGTATAGATGCGCCCCACTGCTGTCCCCCTTAGAGAGGGACCCGTCCCAAGAACGCGCCCGGGCGCTGCTCGTCGGTGAAGGCTTCGCAGAGGTAGAACGGGGCTGCCTCCGTTGCGCGTTGGTGCTCCGTTTCGGTCTTCCATAAGCCGGCCCCGTTCGAAGTCAAGCCGCTAACAGCCACGCGCAGGCACACGCGGCCGCCCTGCCTGGGCTTGGTATGGTTCAGATGATCTCCCAAAGAGACACAAGGCCAGTCCATGGAGAGCGCGCGCGCGCTGGTCGCAATTTCGCCCACTGTCTGGGCGAAGGTTTGGCGCCGCATGTGCCTGCGGGTGGGGTGGGGGTAAGTAATATAGGCATCTTTGCAGTAGGTAGTTTAGTCATGGCTTGAAGTCTGGGACCTCCAATCTGTCGCAGTCTGTGGTCGGCCTGCCTGCGCAAATCCTCGTCGGCCTTGGTTGCTGTGTGGCCCGAAAAGGCTCACGCGCAGGGGGCCGCCCTGTATGCCATTTTTGGGCTTCGAATCGAAAGCCCCCGCGTTTCTTGAGGCTCTTGGCCGCAGCCTGTGGGCATTCCGTCAGGCGCCATCCCTGGCGCCTGTTCTTAGCGTTCCCGTGGCACTCTTGGCGATCGCCTAGACCAATCCGCCCGCGCTCACCTCGCTCCCCCAACATCTTCCCGAGGGACGTAAAACCCAAGAGAGCGCCAGGCTGCGCTTTGTTTTGTACGGGTGCAAGGCGTCGCACTTTCTGGCCGTTTGCAAAGCCGTGGCGGGCTTGCGTCTGGTTTTTGCCAATTCCAAGGCTCGGTGGATTGTTGGCGGCTGATTGTGCTCCCGTCTGGGTTTGATGGTCGGGGGTCTGAGCATCGCGCCCTTCGTTGCCTCCCTTACCATACGGACGCACACCCCGCACCCCTTACCTTCCTCCGCTAATTCACACGGTGCGAGCAGCTCGCTACATGTGAAGTCGGGACCCCGCTACCTTTAACGAGGGCCCGAGGCCCAGCCTGCGGACCCCGCGAAGGCCTGGACCCGGGTGGCTACGCAACAACCCCTTTCCAACTCGTCGGCCTATGACTCGACTGCGCACACGCCTCGCCCTCGTTCACAAGACTACGCAGCGGAGATTGGAACTAGCTGAACGGGCCCCGGCCTGCATGCTAGCGGTGTGAACTGTAGCAACCAGAAGGGAAGCGCAAGAACGTCACCCCGATCTCGTCAGCAATCAAGCCGAACGCACCCAGGCCAGCGGCTTGCCGAGTCTCTCAGGCCTAAGCCGTCCCACAATGTGGCCTGGGCGGTGGTGGCCATGATGGTGGGCCACAATGAGGCAGCGCCGATTAGTTACTTGCCGCCCCCTTTCCACTTGTTTGCTTCTTGTCTTCTCTTGCCTCTTGGGTCGAGCAGCTGCTTTGTCTGGCCGAATTTCTGAGCGGTCTTCTTCTTGGATCCAAATTCAGCGCCGCGCCCGGCGTTCTCTTCTTCGTGACTTTGGGCCCCTCTCGTGATTCGCGTAGATCTTGCGGCCGACTATTCCATTCCTCAGAGGTATCGGGAGTCCATCTTCTGGCCAGGTGCAGCATCTCGGAACTTCAGGGGGTCGCCGCAGATGGAAGCCGCGCCGCCTGATCCTCGTGGCTCGTCTGTCATAAGCCGCTGAACAAGAGCCACAAAGCCCCATCGTGCTGAATAATCTTCCACATGAGCGCCGGCAGGTCGCTTATATATTTTCACTGCTGTTGTGTGTCATTCAATCGAAGAAGGGCACACTCATGCAGGTAGGAGGATGCCCGACGGAGCTCAGCAGAAAAGCCCAGAAGCCCACACGGTCGGTCTTGTTCGTTGGTCTACCAAGCTCAGCGAGACCCTACCCAAAGCGATGAGCTCACGATGGTGAAGCTACGTGCTGCAAGAAATGGGCGAAGAGTGTCCATTCACTGCACAGCTACTACTGTAATTATGAAACATACTGACTGTCGCCATGTTGAAGACCAAACACAAAATTACAAAACAAGCAAAAACGCGCGCAATTTACATAGTCGCCCAGACGAGCAGAAAAAAGCTCCGCACAAAATTGCTACTACTAGGCCGAGCCTCTTATGTGTTTTTCGAGTGTGAGGGATGGCGAGTGCCATAAAATGGACGCGCTCAGCTATTAATACATCTCCGCACAATGGAAGAGCAAGCTACTGAGTCTATATGAATTCAAGCCATTCCAATGCCGTAACGGCATGCCTTCAAAATTCATCTGCGTCCTTAGTTATGCTGCCGCCCGCACCGAATTTAAGCGGCAGCGTTGCCAGCCTTTCGAGCGACAAGCGTATCCCTGTGAGAAAGGAGCGCGACCCCGTCGCAAGTTCGCCACTTTCCAGGTACACGCACACACGCACCCACTACCCGGCTCCCCCCTTAGTTTTGCTCGCATCCAGTCCCTCACGCATGCACTCGCGGCCTGTGGCCTCACTTTCTCCATCTTCTGGACCTTTGAACAGCGTGCCACTGATCCGGTAGCCGCATAGACAGCGCGAGGCAGTGTCTCCAGAATTCACGAACATCACGGGACACCCCCGCCCAAAAGCGCGCGACGACTCCTCTGCCGCTCCTAAGTCCTTCCCGTATGCGGTAGGCCCGTTCCCGCTACAGATGCACCCGACGCGCTAACGCCCCACGCCGTTCATGCAGCCCGGGCAAGTGGTAGCCCGCTCGACCTCGTGCTCTTGCGATTGAAGGCACCCTAAGCCGCCGCCCAGCCGATGCCAAGCCACGCGAGCACTCTGCAGCTCAGCTTTCTTCTTGCCCTCCGCCTCGCAACAGCTGAAGCGCCACCTTCTCTTCGCCAGATGTTCCGCACTCAGGAGCACCCTGGGCAGCATCGTCTCCCATCTCGTCAAGATGCTCCGCTTCGACCCACTCCGCGCACCCGTTGCCATCGTCCTGGGCTGGTCGCTTCATGGAGGTGCACTACGTCCGACGCACATAAGAAGTAACGAAAAACACCACGAGGGCACCCGAGTCACTTTATCAGCTATCACACAGAAGAACACAGCAAAGATAAAAGCTGCGAAGTTCTCCGCAGGCTTCTGGCTTCTCTTCAGGCCACCGCCTCCGATCACATGCGACAGACCCGGCAGACCTTTCGCAAGATCGTTCCGGGCCTTCTCTTGTTGATGCTCCGCGCTGCTGGCGTGGTTGCTTTGGCTTTGTGCCTAGTGCTGCTCCTAGCGTCTCATCTGCCTGCTGCGCCGGCTTCTTCCAAGCTGCGGCAGTGCCAGCCTTAGGCAACTGGTCAGCAGCTCTCGCTGTAGTCAGCTCCATCGTAGACGCAGCGACCTTCTCGCCATTCTTGGCTGCCATGTCGTGGGGCCCCTTCTCGTCTCCAAGCAGATTCACCCGGCTTCGTCGATGCCGTCGCGTGCGCATGGCATAAAAGAGCCCAACCCACTGCCGCCACGTCGTCTGGTAGGTGATTCACGAGGTGCGCTAGAGGCGGGCGCTTGGCTTCGGCTTATCTGCTGCGCGGTTAACCCTGAACTGTCTGGAGATGCTAATACTGTCCGCAAGCTGATTACTACCAGTCGCCGGCTACTCCGCGGGCTCTTTCTGTGCCGCTTCCATGAGATCCGGCGCGTTAATCTTCTTGCTCAGATCACCTGCCTGCTGTGGCCCTTTCTGGTCCGTATTCACCGCACTCGCGCTACTCGAAGAAGCTACCGGCCCCCAAGCTTGCTGGTCGGCCGTTCTCGCTAGCTCGCTCAGACGTAACGCAGGGACGCCCCTCAGCAGGCACGTTTTCCGGCACTGGGTCGATAACTGGCTCCAGTCGTGGTAGCGCTCGCGAAGAACTAGACGCCGAGGTCGGTGGCTCGCCAATTCCACCCACGCTGACGCGCGTGCTCGAGCCTGCTCCATTATTCGAAGGGGGCGCGGAGTCAGCCCGTCGGCCTCGTGGCACGTGATGTCTCTACTCTTCGACAGGATAGACCTCCGACCTTGCAAGTTCTCCAAGAGTTGCGGGCCCTCGCGAGCAAGATGTAGCGCATCGGTACGGATATTAGTCTTCCTGCTCGAGACCCAATGCTTTAGAAAGTCACCCCCGAGAAAGGAGCCGCGCCCAGTGGTCTTGTCGAGTATGCTGGTTGCCTCGAAGTCCTTCGAAAAGACAGCGCGCACTCGTAGCCCTCACTTACTATGCCCATACCTAGCGCCCTCGAGATGCCGCAGACGAAACGGCATGGCGCCGCCTCTCATAACATCCCCGGCGAGCTTCGTGCGTATGAGTAGCGACTTTAGCATAGACTGTCTCGCTTTCGGTGAGTGACGTGGGAAGCGGGAAGCCCCAAGCCCCTGCGGTTGCTTCATCTCGATGGATACGGTCAGGCGGCAACCCCGCAACGCCACCACTGTCAGCCCCCGCTATTCATGTAAGACCTGCAATGGGTCTGATATGGCTGACTCAGCTGCCCCGAAACAAAGGAGAAAGAAACAGCCTGGGACGCTTTTCAAAAGTGGCGAGCTATCTCATAAAACAAAATCGACCAGGAGGGCGCCTCGAATGTAGTGCCAGGCCTGCTGTAGTCCATCTCCCCCAAAGAAGGCGCACCCGGCATCAGAGTCCGGAGGCCGTCTGCCATCGTGTCGGCGTTGCCATCTCCACCGCAATCCCTCCACACCCGCGCCCAGTGGGCCGCCAGTGTTGGGACCCACTTCACCGGGGCGATTTTCCTCCGGGCCTACGAGTCCGGAGCCCGTTTCTACGCCTGCGCCTGCCTTTCTTCTTTGCCCAGCGAGCTGGACCGGAACGCCGGCGACTAGTCGCAGGCGCGAAACAACTTCAACCGCGTGCAAGTGGCCACTCATATGCCCTTCCGTTTTTAAGACAGTCGGCCGACCGCGGCGCCGACTCTCCTGCAGGATGCCTCGTATCCAAATGCAAACAACTAAACTGCAGCCCCAAATCAGTGCCGCGCCGATCGATTTCCCCACGAGCCGCAACGCCTCAACAAGAAACACGCAACAGGAGCCATCTGGATCCATCGCAAAGCAGCCCATCTGCTGGACGTGATGGCTGCTAATCATATGGCCCTCCTTATCGATGTAAGCGAGCACGTTCAACACTTTGGAAAATTCCGCTTCCTCCGGCTGCGTGCAGTTCTTTTCCAGCATGCCCTTCACCGTCTCCAGTGCCTTCCTGACAGCTTCCCCGCGTCAGTCACAGGCATGCTGCCACTCACATAAAACGCCTCCAACATGGTACAGACAGAGAGTGGCCGCCCCGAAGGTTTTCGCTGGAAGAACGCGGCCCCCCATTTCCTCCAACGTTTTCCCCAGGTAGCACGTCAGAGGAGCCCGGCCACCAAGTGCCCAGGGTGACTCCTCTCGCAACCAATCTGGCGCCCTTTCGTGCAATCAGCAAGAGGGCCTGGCTTCATGAAAGGCACCCATGTCAGCAGCAACCGCTCTGCCATCGAAGCAAGGAGCGATGTCCCGTTTGAGATGATGAGAGACAATAAGAAAGAAGCCACCACCTGCACGCGGGCAAACGGATGGCAAGGAATCAAAGCGATACACTAAGCCCACACCGCAACGGCGAGGCCTTCTGCCTCACAGCGCTGCCTAATGGATCAAGACAACAGCTGCCCCCATCGCTGCGCCGCTGTTCTTCGAGCTCTTTGCCGCCGCACTCAGATTCACACCGCGCAGACCAATGCCACGCGTGTCAACGGCGCGCACCATCATCCACTTCGTCGCCAATTCCTGAGCCTCTTGTAGCTTACCGCGCTCCAGATAGTCGCAGGAAATTCCTGGCAAGAAGTGCGCCAATGGTTGGCGCAAGCATGAAGAATTTCGCAACGCGTCACGCCAGCACGGTGCAGCATTGCGAACCATCCTGGTGGCTTGCATGTTTTGCCACTCAAACTCCCCCGGTGATTGCAAGGAGGCCGACGCGTACGATGCGAAGGCCGGGGCCGCTGACTTGTAGAGGTGACCATCGCCGAGGCCTCTCTGCGAACTTGGTTGAGCCTGGAGCGGGTTCACCTCATAGATTGACGCTCGCAGACCCCACCGCTTCGCAGCGTCACTATCACCAGGCCGCAACCGTCCCGGGCGTTCCAAGGAAGGTGCCCGGGATTGTCTCTGAGGCTGGATCCTTGCGCACAGTCTCGCGTATGGTTTCGCCATCAGCTTCTCTCCCCCAAGGCTTTGCATACATTAAGACTCACTGGAGATTGCCATCCGAATACATGCAGAGCGCAGAGTGAGACACAACGAAGACGGAGACTACCCAAGGCCCTAGAGTTGAGATTTCAAAACGCACAAAAAGGCGACACCATGCGCACAACGGTCGAGAGACCAAGAAAGCCACACCAAACGCAAACAGCGCAGCATCTTCAGGCAACTCGGAAGCCCCGGCCCCAATGCCATCGCCGGCGGCCGCGTGCGCTGTTGTGTTTGCGCGGTCATGTGAATCAACTGACTCAAATCCAAGGCTGGCCCTGATGAATCAGTTGAATCGGCCAGAGGCCTGGCAGATTGCCTCAAAGCGAACCAGGTGAGCAACTGGCCAGTGCCTGAAGCGGCTGATCAGTGGCCCAGGCGCTGGGCTTGCGGCAAGGGCTGCCTACGCCTGCGACTAAGTCAGCTGATTCAAAGCCCCCGAGGGTTGTCTGAGTCAACTGATTCAGTAGCACCCCAGTCAGCCAGCTGCGGGGCCTTTTCCTCCTCCGCTTGCCGCTTCCTTGAGCCTGTGCGCGATCCCCTTGATCGGAATTTCCAACAGCCCGCGGGCTGCAGCAAGACAACCAGGACAAGAGCAGGAAGCGTCGGAGCGAGTGAGCAGACTCACGCTTTGGCGCAGATCCAAGATTTCAGCCAAGGCCGCACACAAGTGGAGCCACCTCAAAAAGTGCTTTTTCTGCGATGAATTCTTCTCCCAGAAAAAGCCGCAGAAATAAACTCGAGCGAAGTTCTCCGAGGAAACTTTCGGCCCCCGCTAAGTTTTTGAGATTGCTGCTCAAGATTTCAAAAGATGAAGGCCCAAGACTAAACCCAAGCGGAAGGCCTAAAAAAGCGAAGCTTTTCCCTGCGGAAAAAAATAGGCAGCGACTTGCTGGATCCTAGTCGGCTTTGGAGCGACCAAAGCCAGCACAGTGGTGGCGGGCGCGGATCCCGCCAAAACAAGCCCGCGGTCTGCTTTTTGCATTCCAGCGCGCTCTTTGGCGCCGTTGGTCGTCGCTCGATCGCCCGTCGGTCTCCCGAGTCTGTAGCGGAAACGCACACCCGCCAGACTCTGCGCCCGAGGATGACGTAGGCAGCGACCAGCAGCAGCACGCCAACCCGACTCCGGTGCGCTTTGGCTTGGCCAAGGTTCACGGGGACGGACAGCGCAAGTGTGTGGCGGGGTCAGGTCTTCCTGCGTACTGGCGCGCCAGCCCTGTCGCGCGGCCCTGCAGTCCACTGCGGTCGAATGCCCTTCGCGTGTGGCTTTGTCTGCAAGGGTGACAACCACACAGAGCCAGGGCAGCCCCTAGCACCCAAGTTCACAGCCAACAGAGATGCCCGCGCAGCTTCTCCGACTGACATTGGGCCGCCCCCGCCCGGAGAGTGCTCCCATACCACTGCCGAGCCATCAGACGGGGAAGCCTTTGGCAGTTACCAGGGGCCGCCCACTAGGCTCCGCCCCGGGAATGTACGAAAAAAGAAGCAGAAAGAGGCGCAGCCCAGTGGGCGCACGGGCTTGAAAGTAGTGCCTGCCCGTCTCAGTTCTAGGAGCTTGGATTTCCTGCACCTACACACAGCGCCTGAGGTGGCAGAAAGTGCCGGGCCCACTAAAAGCAACCCAATGAAGAAACGGGGCAGCCAGCGACTGGCGCGCTTCTGTTGATATCTAAGCCTTGGCGTTCCTGTGGTTGAGTGTCTTGAAGTCGTCCTTTGTGGAATCTCCTCACTCACAAGTCTGCGAATTCTTTGCCAGAGTACTAGGGGCGAGCAATTCTCTACACTAGCACCACACCCACCAAGCGAATCGCGAAGAATCTACAAAACTGCAAGGAAGTGAATGCCGTACGTCGCACACGAGGTTGCTGACAATCCCGCAGAACTCTTCTGCGTCAATGCTGTCAGCGGGGAGCAAGTCGAAGAGCGAAGGCGCCAGCGCCACACTGAAAGTTGCAGCGGTTTCCGATACCAGTGCACTGCGCTCATGGCAATAGCATTCAGAACCGCAAAAACGCTGCCAAGATGTTGCAAGGCCAACAGCATGAAAGAAAACCAGGGGCCGCCCATAGCGTTCGAAGGCCATGACCCACGCCCCCAAATCATACGAATGCAGCAGGCGACAAAACGCCATTAGTGAGCCGCAGCGTGCTTCCTTCTCATATTTTTGGACTTTCCGCGACCAGGTCGCCTCGCTTCCCCCTTTGCGTCCTCCTTCGCCTTCACGCGAGGGCCCTTCTCGCCTTGACCTTGCACGGGACCACTGCCCCCGACCTCTTCTCCTACGCTAAGGCTTGCGGCTTTTGCTGCCTCCTGAGTTACGTCACCGCCCTCCTTCGCTTCTTTCTCATCCTCGTCGACGCCAAGTCCCTCACCTTTTATACCTAGACGGTGAGGGGGCTATAGTGGAGGCGAGGGCGGGCGTGTGAATCCAGCGAGGTCCCGTCTGATTGAAGCAGTAACTTGTAAGTCCTTCCCAGCCTCATGAAGCATGGCTCTCGGTTCAGACGCTGCCCATCTCATGAAGCAAATTACTAGAAACTAACAATAAGAATTCGCCAAAGAGTAGCGACGACCAGACCTAGCGCTAACCATTTAGAGGCGAGAGCGCGTTGCGCCACGACTGCCGCGGCGTATCCCGTGAGGAGCTTGCGACGCTCGTTGATATCCAAGCCGTTCGCTGCGCTTCAGTCTGACTCCGCCGGCCTCCAGCTGCTCTCTTCCTTCCACTCGCGCGCGGCGGATTGTGAAAAAGTCCGGCTTTTCCTTGTACATCAGAAAAGACACGCAGGCCGCAAAGGTAGACCAACTCTTCACCAACCAGATCGCAGCAAGCAGATGCCTGCGCCGCCTCTTCTGCGGCGCGAAAGTTGCGAGCCCCCCACGAGTCTCCCTTACTCGCTCCCACACTGCGCGAAGGAGTGCCTCTGGGTCATCACTGTCCATCTTCAGCCCCTTGCGCAACCAATTCCCATAGTTCGAGATGATGACGAGCCCCCTCGCATTCTCATCACCCAGACCCTTGCCTTTCGAACAACACCAACAGCCTGCCGATTTTGATACTGTGAACGCCTCCCGAGGTTGCGCGATTTTTCAACACACGAAAGGAGCCGTGTGGCATGCAACTCCCGAGGTATGCGCTCCACGATGGATTGCCACCACATCGCGGGACTGCCCACGCGGGCAATCAAATCGCAAGCGCGCCGGCCGCTGGTGGGCATGGCCCACAGGTAGAGGAGCCGCTGAGCGCTTCCTTTGTCGATTACGACGAAGCAAGCTCGCCCATAGCACAGTCAGCCCCACCCTGAAAATCATCCAGATCGCACTGCTTCACCCGAGCCGCCTGCGCTGCACTCGGTGGTCGGGGCTCGCCTTTCTTATGAGCAAGCAGCCCCATGCCTGCTGGGCATTTGCTCACGATGCGCCTTTACTTCTTCTAGTGTGACCCTGTTGATGACGATCGGCGGCAGAGTGATACTAGTCACGAAATGCGGGCCAAAGAGTCACCCTCGTAGCTGTGCTGGTTCTATTGAGCGGCCTCCTAGTAAAATCCCGCCCGTTGATAAGCCTGCCACGTCATCCCTGTAGCTGTCACCCGACGCGTGCACCTTGATTGTCTGCAGCAAGAGGGGGCGCAAAGTGACCCCAGTGCGCGACTCTCCGAGCGCGCTGCAGCTCGTTTCTGGTGCGTGGGGTCTGCTTTGGCGAGCGGCTTTATGGCCTCCGCAAATGGCTTCCCCTTTGCTCCTGCTTCGTAGACAACTGGTGGCCCCCCGCCAATCATCCCCGCAGCATCGTCCTCAGCGAATTTCTTTCGCTGCCATCCTGCAGTGGTGAGCCCGTGGAAAGCATGAGAAAAACTACGACAAGAAGAAAAGACAAAAAAAAGCCCAAAGAAGAAAGACAATCACCCAGATGCCGAAGCGGCGACATGGGTAACTAGTGGCAGCTCTGACACTGCTAACCAAGAAAGTCCAGCCAATGCCCGCGCCCGTCTCTTATAACAACGCTGAAACTTCGACAGGCAAACTGACTAAAAGAATTTGACTCAGACACTATGGGCAGCAAAGCTCTAGAAGGGGCGCACTTCCTCCGGGCTGGGCGGTGCTGTCGCTGACACGGCGCGGGTAGCACAAGGCTAAAAGTTCCGCCAGCCATGCGCGTAGAGGTAGGTGGCCCAGTCCCATACACCAACAAGAGCGCCGCGCACTTTTCCGCCGGCAGCCAGTGGGCATAGCGCTGCGGCAGCTGTGCATCTGAGGAGTGAGCGTCTCCCGGCTAGTTCGCTCGATGCTTCGCATAAGTGCAGCGGCTTACCAAATTGCTGAGCATTTGTCTCGTAGACGTCGAGAGTGAGCCGCCGTCGCTCTCGGCTTTTCTGCTGTGTCAGCATGACAAACAACACCACCCCAACCACAGCGAGGCCCCTCGTCTAAGAATCGGGGTGCCTCGCTCTATTCGGCGGGGAACTGAGTCACCCGGGCCCACAGCGTCGCCAAGTGGGAGCCGTCTCTCCTTCGAAAGGGCCAGCCGCTCTCCATCTCGTGAATGAAATACGAGACCGCAAAGGAGATCCGGGCGACTGCGTGTCTGTGCGATCTATTGGCAATCGTCAAAACAAGAGACGCCACGTGGGGAGGCGCCGTTTCTTTTGGGGAAAGAGTTGCTCTTTTGAAAGTGAAAAAGTCCCGAAATCTAAAAAATCTAAACAGTTCGAAACTTCTTAAGTTTTTGCGTCTATTCACTCAGAAGCTCCCGCACGATTAGCACAGCTCTACCCAGACCGAGCCAACCTATTGCGAGATGAAGATCTACAAGTCTAGCCCAGAAGCGTCAAGCCCGTCGCCAATGGAGACGCGTCAAGCCACGGCGGTGGAGGGGTGGAGAGGGTTTGGCGAATGCGGGAAGTCTGGCACCGATGTCATCCAGATAGGCAACAAGATACCACGACCAACCGCAAGACTTTAGTGGGAAAGAAATCGCAACAGTCTCCAGACGAACAGCAAGCAGAGTGCTGGCCCCGCAATTAAAAACCACCTTCCCAGCCTGGACAAGCTACGAGAGGCACCAAGCCGGAGCGTAATCCCCTGCGACTGCATTGTCGTCGATGGGGACACTGATGCCAGCAAGCCGAAACGGTATGGCCCAACGAGACAGCCAGCGAAGATATTTGCGAGGCCCACGCGCCATGATGCCATCTCTTCCCACTCACTCCCCCCATTCAGTTCTCCCTCTTCAGCTGGAGCATCTTCCTACGAACAAGAGCGAAAAGCCCGCCAACGGTGACCAAATCCATCCCATCGACCTGATTCTTACACAGATGGACCCAATCCGGCGGCGCCTCGTCTGGGCCCTGAATCTTCTCGCTGCGACCCAGTGGCCACGCTTGCGATAGGCGTAAGGTCAGCAATATCGGAGAAGTAGACCCCGAGACAGAGGCCGACGACGTTACCGCGGCGCCTGTCGTTACGGCACTTCTCTCCATGTGGATCAGTTTCGTAGTGCCTGCCGTGCTGTATGGACTTGCGGCGGATATCTGGCTCGCTCGTGTCATCTGTGCCGAGTAAGATAAAAGGGCACTTGCACGAAGATGGGGCCGCGCGTTGACAACTGGGCCTCGCACCTTCTCAAACGCGAGGAGCGCCTGGGCGTCCGAGTGCACTCGCGTCAGAGAAGTCTAGTCATGGCTTTTTTAATGGGGGGCCCGCTCAATAATCTCGAAGCGGAGAGCTGGGCAAATGCCGTAAGCAAGTGCTTCCAATCCTATAGCTTTGTCGAGTCTTTCACGACAAAGCAACTAGCACCAGACCCAAGCGACGCGAGAAGAAGCCGGATTTGGGTCGCGCGGTGTGGTGGCGAAGAATCCCAGAGACGAAGACAGAGAACAGAAGGCGCCTCTCGACAGAAGATAGAAGCGACTGCGCTAACTATGAGACAGAGAAAGAGCCGGCGGCGACCGTCTGCGCGCAAGGGCTCCCCTGTAGTCCCTGCCTCGCCCTCGAATCTCGTCCCTTTGTTCATTTTATGAAGGTCCAAAAGGTGCGCGCTCTATGCTGTGGCCTCGTTGCAAAGTCTAGGCGTCAGCGCTTACAATGGCACTGAAAAAAAAAACTAGCTCAGCCCGTGTCCGTATAGTTTCAAAAAGGCGCCGAGGCTGAGCGAAACAGATTGCCCCGCCGCCTCCTCATCTGATGGAGCAGGCGAACTACGTCTCCCCCTATGGAGTCTCGAAAAAAAAACTAGCACACCCCCCGCGCAGAGGGGCCCCCGTCGCTGGTCTCGCATGGCGCGATCTCCTCAGGCCTAGCGCCAGAGCCCTCCAACGCACTTACTCATCCCCCCGAAAAGCGCGCGGAGAGGCGGAGTCCGCCAAGTTGTGGGTCTCCGCCGTCGTTGGCATCTCGTCCCAGCCTTCGTCCTCTGACTCTGAGTCGCCATCCCCTCCATCACCAGCAGAAGCCTCTGCTGCCTCCTCCTCAAAAAGCTCCTCTAGGGCGTCGACGTCGTGCACGGAGTCCAGTGGAGGGTCTGTGGCTTCCTCCTGCGCAGCCTCTTCGAGCGGGCGCTCTCTCTCGCCCTCTGCGGCAGCAGCTCGACGCCTTGCAAGCTCCTCCGGAGTCATTGCTGGCCCATTTGAGCTGCCAGCTACTGGGCCCTGGTTCTGCTCCTGCACAACTGCGGTCTGACCGAGCAGGGCGCTGCTGCCCATGGCTGGCGGATTGCTCGTGGCGCCAGGTGCTGCCAGAAGGAGACCGCCTCCCCGTTGGACTCCGGGCCACGCACTCAGATCCGCTGCCGACCATGAAGACGGACCAGGCCCAGCTGCGACGTTGCATCCTGGAGAACAACTCGAACTACCTGCGCCAGGGTTCTGCGCGGTCTGCTGAAGTCCCGGCTGCGCCAGCGTGGACGATGCGCCAGGAGTGACAGCTGAACCGCCGGGAGGGGTGTCCCTGTCGCCGTTGAGGATGCGCGGAGGCGGCAAAAAGAAGTCCGCGCGTGCCTGATCAGACAAGTTGACCGCAGCCGGGGATCTGCCTGGAGTGGCGATGGGGATGGGTAAGCATCGGCGGCGGCTTTTGGTTTTCCCTGCCCAGGCCCGTTGTCCGCACTTGTTGGACCCTGCAGGCCAAGAGCTCCTTGAAAAGCTGGCGGAGCAGCACTCGGGGCCGGATTTTGACCAGCGTGCTCTTGCTCAATACGTCCCCGCAGCGTTTCCGTTCGAAGGCCGTGCTGGAGGCGCTAGCCCGGTGCTTCCTTCTGCTGCAGCGATGCCAAGCGACGAACTAGACGAACTAGAACAAGACGATCCCCCGGCTAAAGGTGGCGCCTTGTTTAAAGGTGGAGGCTGTTCAGGAACGGCTTGCGCAACAGGAGGGCCCACAGGTGGGGGCTTCGAAACCGAAGTCGGCCCTACCTGGATTCCCGTTAGCAGCGCCTGCATGTCCTTGGCTTTGAACAGCAACAGGCCTCCGCCGCCTTCGGGCCGTCGCTCCCGCCACCTTCTTGTCTGGCCTTGACCTTCTTCTTCCTCACCTTCTGCTTCGCAGCAGCTCCGTTCCCCTCCGCTGAGGGCCCTGATGCGAGAGAAGTGGAGGAGTTTCATGCAAATCGTCAAGAAATGAGTCAGAGCCTGCAATCTTCTTGCTGCCCTACATACTAAATGAGAAGAACACGGGAGGAGAATCCCAAAAAAGTCAGCTATAGTCTTCCGCGAAGTTCCTCCACCTTGTTGGCCATCTTGGTCAGCAGCTGCAAGACTGCCAGACGATGAAGAGCAAGAACCGCCAACCTGAAGCATCTGCGGCATGCAAGCGCGTGCGGAACTCGTCGCCAGCGGTCGGTCGGTTGCACCTGTCTAGCAAAAAAATTGAAACCAGAGGAGGCGGCCACAACTTCAAGGAGAAGGATTCGCTATCTGGTCGCACACCTAACAGCCCGCATAGATCTGGCACTATCATAATACGAGCCGACATCTCTAAACCCAAGCGCTTAAGCTTACCAGCCGGAGGAGCCGCTGGGGCCACGCGCGTCAGTTGCTGCAGAGCCGGAAGCTGGAACTGTTCGAGTGCTTGCACCTTCTCCGGCGTTGTTAGCCTGAGGGGGCATCTGCTTGGCCATCGTCTGCGAGTCAAGACACGCAGCAAGCTGCGCGGGGGCGACTACAGTACTAGAAGGCGGCGGCGCTGGTGCGGCGACCCAGTTTGGCGGAGGGTTCAACCGCATACCGGCCGGCAGAATGAATTCCGAAGAAGGTCAGCCACGCTGTGAAGTGATCCCGGGACCGGAGTAAAGGCAGGGGCCCGAGCCTCAGACGGTGGAGCCTCAGACGGTGCGCCGCGCCGTGTACTCAGACTGGCAACCTGACGCACGACCAATCTCCTCGCCTGGTCGAGAACCCTCCGGGGCGCTCTTGGCGCCCGGCATGTGGTCACACGGCGCCCCCGAAACGTCAGCGAGGCCTGCTACTTGTTGGCGACGAAATATAAAACGAACGCCGTAGAAGAAGCTGCAACGAACACACAGGCTGGACTTCGCAGAGAACTCCTCCAGGTGTCAGCACAAACGGGAAAGCAAGCCAGATTTATGGCGCTTGGTCTCTGCTGCTCGCTCCTCGGTGTTCCTCCAGGGCCTGGGCCTACTACTTCGCCCGGATTTACGTCACGAGCCGCGCTCTCGCCTCTGCCTGGCGTCTGCCCTCAGAAAAGCAGTAGGCATTTTGTTCAATAACTCCCGATAATTAGCCCAAATTAGTCCAAATTGGCCCAAAGTAGCTGAAGCCAAGTGGACCAATACCAATTTGCGTAAATTAGTCCAAACCAACGCAAGCCAAGCGAACGAACAATTGGCCCAAATTGGCCCGAAATAGTTCACCAATTTGCCCAAGCGAGCACAAGCCAGCCAATAAACTGGCCCAAGCTGTCGCAGATTAGCAAGCCAGTTAGCTTATGCCCTTGACTCATTTTGACTAATTTCAGACAATTCGCGCTATTCTTAACTAATTTCGGCTAATTTTGATTCGTTTCTAGCTCTAACTAATTCGGACTAATTTCAACTAATTCCAACTAATTCTAACTAGTTCCGACTAATTTTAACTAATTCCAACCAGTTCTGACTAATTTTGACTAATTTTGCCTAGTTTTAGCTAGTTAGAGCGAACTGGCTTGGACTGATTGAGCCAACTGATTCGGACTAATTTGAACTAGCTGAGTCAGCTAATTCGAACCGATTCGAACTAATTGGCGAAGGCCAAGCCAATTAAAGTGAACAATCCAAGAAGAAAAGAGCTAGCTAATCCGCCCCAAGTTGAACCAATAAGAAACCGAAGCACCACCAGCGAACTAATTTGGACTAATTTGGATTAATCTACGAGCAAGGGCGTCGAGTTAATGAACAAAAAGCCTACGCCGGCCTTTCTTTACTAAACGGCACGGCAGTCCGAAGGCTGCCCCGCGGATAACATGAGGCGCACCCCTCCCACAATGTTGCCAAAGTTTTAAGGTCGAGCACATCATTCCGCACCCACATGAGCCACCTCCGACCTTCTCCAACGGGTCTCCTCACTCTTATCCACCAGCAGACGCGTCTCCGCTAGCACCTGGAAAGCCATGCCTGCGCCTAACATGAGAAGAGAAGACACTGAGACGCCATCAACAAGAGCAAGCTGTATTATTCTGACAGACTGAGGAACGAACCCCATCCCCTTCAACTGTAACCAAGCAACTGCTTCGAAAGTGGGCAAACTACGAGAAAGAAGCTACTCTCGTCCCATCTCCTCACCCTCCGCGTATGTCGCCGCCATTTGGCCCGTCATAAGATGGGCCTGAGCTGATCCAGGTGGTCCGCTCCTGATTAATTTAAGCCGAGAACCCCTCTGGAGCATTGTTGGGCGATCAGCAAAGACCTTGACGCAGATGGCTTGCCTCGCCGGCGACGGGCAGCAGTGTGTAGGCTTTGGCACCTGAGAGAGGTGAGTCCTGAATAGAGGGAGGCTGCCCCTGTCGCTTGAGTTGACTCAATGACGAAAGTCTAACACGCTGAAAGCAAAGCAGTGAAATAGACGGCGCAAGATAGTTAAATATGAACGACGACAGTCGACGCCGATGCCTCCTCGCTCCTGCCTTATCGCCTGCGCCGCCACTTTCGTCCCCTTCTCCAGGAGTGCCGGCGGAGTTTGGGCGCAAGGCTTCGCCGCTGATGGATCTACTCAGCATCTGTAAGAAAGCCGCCGCATTTCCTGCCGTAATGGCGTCGGGGTTGATTCTAATTCCCCTAGGGGCAGGCCTAGGCTGACCAGGCGGCATGCTGAAAGCGGGCCACTGGCACGCCAGTCAAAGCTGCGGCGCCGCTCTGGGGCGGGGGAGGGTTCTGCCCTCCGGAGCCCTTTTGATTATGTAAGGAGGAGAAGGCCCCGCCTATAGAATTCTCCCAACGGGCCCGCTTTTTCTACGAGGCAGCTCCATCACAGGCGTCCGCTCTCTAAGCGCTCCGCCCCCTCTTTGGAGTCTGCGTCGGTCTTGGTCCCCATCACAAGAGCACGAAAAAGCCCCCGGCTGGGTCGTCCTATGACCTACTGTCGCAGCGTCAGTGAGAAAGACTATCCTGACCACACTACGCTACCTGCGTCGCATGCCTGGGGCTCATGCCTCCACCTGGTTGCAGCCTGTTCAGCCGTCTTCCAATCCTCTAGCCCAATGCCACAGGAACACGCTAGAACCTGCGCCGAAGCAAAGCAGTGAGCTACGCCCCATCGCCTGGCCTGCGTCTTCTCTTGGCTCAACAATGCGGAAAGGGAGCGAGACGGCAGCGCCGGGCGCTATCAGGGTTGCCTTCGATGAATTTGCGCCACCAGGTCGCTGCAAATGAGGTTGAATAGTCTAGCAGTCTGGGCTGAAATGAGTGGAGACGGCTCATGGAGTTCTTGCATTCCATGCGCCTTTTAATCGACCAGATCCCCTAGCCTATCACTAGATGACCCCACTACCATAGCGAGGCACTTCTTACCTGAGTAAGGCGGCCTCTAGCACTTGGCGGCTTAACGCTGGCTGATGCAGCAGCGGCGGATTAGAAGGCGCGGCGAAATCACAAGAGGAAAACAACCACGAAGCTGAGCACTCTCGTCATATGGCGACGCGGCCGCAGTGCTAGTACGTCGTAGGTAGGCGGCACCCACGCGGCACGCAAGCCATTGCTAGAAGAAAAGGCCTAAGAAATACCCACGCTCTTGCAGTTACATGCAGCGATATACTCAACGCCAGCGAACATCTAGCGGCAGAAGTACAAGACACACCCTCCCGCGTCCCTTTAGCTTTATCCCCAGCGCACAATAAGCAGAAGCTACCTCACTGACTTAAGACACACTAAAAACGGCCCGAGATTATAGAAGCCAGTAGAATAAGCACTACCTACGTACAGACGGTGGCCTTTCGTTGCCCATCGCCTCAGGAAACAAGCAGACAACGCGGCCCAGCGACCATGTCATTGCGCGCCCCAGCGGTTCGCTGTTCAAAAACAGAAACCGCCCCAAAGTCGGGAACCGAGTTCGAGGCTCTACCTGTGCCACTTTAATCCTCGCCGTCGGCGGCTACTGTCCTGTCGGTCTTCGTCTAGTGTTCGCCGCATTCCCTGAGGATGTTGATGACTTGCCGCTCGTCGTGATCGGTCGCATGCGTGCGATACTAGGCGCGTGCCCCCATCAGCTGTCGCACAGCGCGGCCGGCGCTCCGCCTTGATTCCACATCCACTGCGATCCTGCCGGCTGCTCTCGCGAGACATGCCAAAGCACTTCTCTAACTTAAAAGAGCTGCCTTAGATGGCGCAGTCTAAAGAAGTGCACGTCTCCAGCCATGTCCCGCCTTGTGTGTGCTTTGTTGCAAGAGTCTCCGCTTGATATTCGTCCACCGCATCGCCCGGCTCTGCTTTCTATTGATATGCAAACTGCTCGCATGGACATGAGGCGAGGGCGAGAAACTGGCGCAGAAGGCTACCAATCCTAATGGTCTACAAGTAGCGACTTAGGCACACCGCGCGTCTGTGCCTGCAAATTTATCGCCCTAGAGTGGACGACGTACCTACTTACATAACACCGCGAACACTTCTCCCAAGCTTCGCGGTGCCTATGAAAGCACACCGAGTAAGCCGATGCCCATCCCTTAGCTCTTCCTTCTTCACCCACTCGGTATCGCTTCGCGCATCGAATTGCGCCGCAGCGTCAAAATGCTCCGAGCGCGCGCTTCTGAGAGCGTCTGCGCCCCCACATGGAGGACACGTTCGGCGTCCTGCACTCAGCCACTCCAGCGCGAGCACTACATCAAACGGGTTCCGAGATACGGCGTCGCTGAGAAATCCACAGCGTTCGCATAGATGGCGCACACCTTCAAAAGTATGCACAGAATAGGCCAGCCCTAACCATCCAGAAAGTGCCTCCTCTTGCATGATAAAAGAGTAGCGCCTGAAGACAGGCGCACACTGGAAGGCAAATACTCATACAGATGAGATCACGACCATAACAAGGCCCAGGTCGATGGTGCGCACTGTCCGCTTTTACTCCTACCGGCAACTCCACCCCAGCACAAAGCCCGAAAGCGATGCCGGAAGCGAAGAACGCTACCAAATTTCCTATCCTTGCACTTCAAAGCGATGCAGGTTACTTCTGCTTTTTGATCAGAACTGTGGCGCCACAGTACAGTGGTGCTTATACATAGGAAAGAAGCCTATAGAACTACGAGACCCCAAAAAGCTCCGAGATGACTTTGTAGATGGATTTCCAATACCCCTAAATTTCAAGCCGACCGCTCACTCTCACACTTTTGCTGATCTTTCACTTCTGCTCTCTTCTCCATCAACTCCTTTCCCACGGTCTAGGGTCGTGTCGCTCAGCTTCAATACTTATCCGAGTAGTTTATAGCACGCATGGCGCATGGAGTGCATGGAGTAGCATGGAGTGCATGGGGCGCAGAGCTTTAAGGGGCGCAAGAAGCTCCTCCCTTAGCTCCATGCTACTCCATGTGGTCCATGCGCGACTCCATGCCATGCGAGCTGTGCAACCTTAAGTAAATTGCTCTGATATAAGTCGCCACCTCGACTCTGCCCTTGACCTTGAGGGCGCCAGCTTATCCTGCAACTTCCGCAGCTTTGACTCACCTTGCGGGGCATCAAGGTGCCACATCACCCTCCCCAAGTCATGGCAACGCGCTCTGTCTGAATGGCCACCAAGCTCGCTACTATCTGCAAGCGACAGGATCTTCCAAGACGCCTCCAGTATTTTCTCCTTCAGATCGTTAGGCTTTTTCACCTTGATGCGCTGCACCTTGTTTTCCTGTCCCTGTGTTACAGCTTCCTCTTGCCTATTCGACTCCTTATTTTTCTGTCTTTGCTGTACGCCTTCTTCTTGCTTGTTCAGCTGCTTTTCTTGTCCTTGTTCTACAGCTTCTTCCTGCTTGTTCAACATTTCCACTCGATTATTCTGCTTCGAGACGTCCACCGCGGGAACTAGGAAGAGCAACTGCAACAGCACTGGCACAATCTGCTTCACAAAGAGCAGCCGAGTACGTTGTAAGCTAGACCGGTTTCTTACGTTGTCAGACTGGGCGCGAGGTGCCTGCTCGCAAGTGTCGGCCAACCTACTACGCCTCGAGGTCGAGATTGCAGATGGTAATGGCAGCACTGGTTGAGCTGATTGTAGCAATGTACTCCTGCAGAAGCCAGTGATGAAGTTGATGATTTTATTTTTAGCATTTCCCAAGACTACTGTTACTAGAAGAAGGAGGCGCACAAGAACTACTTGGAAGCTCTGCTTCACATAGTGCAGCCCGGTGCCGTTTGAGGGAGCCAACTTCCGCCCTTCTTCAGGCTGCGCGCAGAGCAGCTGTCGGCAAGTGTCGGCATGCCTCCCACAACTGAAGATTCCTAGTGGTGGCGCTGATGATGGCGGTTCTGGTGGTAGCAGCAGTGTACTCCTGCAGAAGCTACCAGTAACGAAGTTGATGATTTGACTTTGAACATTTCCCAAAACTCGTACTTGTACTTCTTCTAGAAGAAGAAAGTGCACTAGAACCACTGGTAAGATGGAGATGCCCACTCCAGACCATCTCTTTTGATCCACAGCGAAAATGGTCCAGCATGCGAAGAGCGAATCGCGGGCCCAAGAGGCGCGTGATCTGCGACGGTCGCCGACAAGCGCAACAAGATAGAGGTACGTGGCAAAACAAGCTGCTAGAGACGCGGTTGCCGAGAAACAGAGAGCGGCGCCAGGCGAACCGGAGAATTCGCAGAGAGCGGCGCCAGGTGAACCGAAGAATTCGCAGAGAGCGCCACCAGGTGTGTCGCCGAATACCACAGGCGTTACATTGCTCCACAAAGGCACAGCGTTTTCCAGCCGCAGGCTGCAACCAGTGTGCAGGTATAGATTAGTGCTAGTCTAGTCTCATTAGCCCTAGTCTAGGGAGCAACTTATGTGACGGTCGCCTTGATATCAAGCGTAAGTAATTGCGACTCAGAAAGAGGCCTCAAGCAGCTGGAGAATAAAGTACTAGCCTGCCTTAAATAGAACTGCCAACAAGACGACCGACGCAACGAAGGAAAAATCGCTGGCGTATTTCCGACCGCATGGGTCCTCGAACGCGCAAGTGGTCTCCGAAAACGATCGCGGCTCCAGCGCGAGACCGTGTCGTAAGCACAAACCGGTGTGCTCCCATGGCAGAGACCCGTCATTGCCGATCATCACACCAAACGGCGATGCCAAAAACGTCAGAAATATTGACACGAATAACAGCATCCTCCACGTGCATGAAAAGTATAGCGATATCCAGTCGCAGCCATCTGCTGGATCCAGTAACGAAAGCGACGGCCCGCTGGCGGGTACTCGCGTACAGGTGCAGTCGACGTTCTGTGGTGCGCTAATACTTCGCTGCTGACTGACGTCGTCTACTAATGTTTCTAGTCGTGACGTTAAGGCAGTACTTCTTTGTTCAGCGCCATCGCCCTCTCCTGATGTTAGCCTGGACGTATTAGAAGCATTTCTTTGCTGCCCACCGTTGTCGTCTGATGATGTTAGTCGGGACGTATTAGAAGCATTTCTTTGCTGCCCACCGTTGTCGTCTGATGATGTTAGTCGGGACGTACTAGCAGCATTTCTTTGCTGCCCACCGTTGTCGTCTGATGATGTTAGTCGGGACGTATTAGAAGCATTTCTTTGCTGCCCACCGTTGTCGTCTGATGATGTTAGTCGGGACGTACTAGCAGCATTTCTTTGCTGCCCACCGTTGTCGTCTGATGATGTTAGTCGGGACGTACTAGCAGCACTTCTTTGCTGACCACCGTTGTCGCCTGCTGATGTTAGTCGGGACGTACTGGCAGGAGTTATACTTTGCTCACCCACGCCGCCGTCTAGTGATGTTAGTCCTCTAGAAGTGGCTATTTTGGCATCATGAGTTCGGTCGTCCACTGCCAATACAGGGCTGCAGAGCACGTCCGCGCACTTCTCGTGCAGCGCTAACCTCATCCGCGGCCACAGCGGACCCCTATTGTCTCTTCTAGCGTCGCAGCGTCGTTCACTGCTGCATGACTGGCCCGATCGCGGATCTCGTCTCAGGAACATCGTCGTCGACGAGAGAAGTTCCGAGCGCTGTCGCCTTCGAGGCGACGAAACCGGAGGCGCAACTGCAGCCGGTAAAGAATGGCTTACTGTCATTCTTGTCGGTGAAGCTGGAAAAAGCTGCAGATACGACCTGCAAAAGCGATTAATTCCGGCTGATAATCGTTCCGGTGGATAATCGGAAAGGGAAACAGGTATGCACCTGTCAGTCACGTTGCCATCTTCTTCTCAACAAGAGTATATTCGGAAGGGGAAAACACGAGTTCCCAATAGATACAGAATGTCTGAGTTCAACTGTGTTGTTTCAAAGAGCTGTGTGGATTTTATGGGTGCAGAGAAGATAATGCGAATTTTCATCAATTTGGGTCACTTTCGTTGTACTTATACATATTCACTTCAGTTTCTTGTTTCAAAAGAGTAGATAAATCGGCGCAGACTCTAACATTGTTGATGCGACGGAGGCTTGGGTTTTCACGGCGAATGTATGAATGTGTACCTTTTGAATTGAAGTCTCGTGGTCACTGGTCAGCGAACTTCTTTCTTTCTCGTTAAAAGGACACTGAAACACTAAACTGATACTGAAATCTCCTAGAAACACTTCGAAACGAATCGACGACTTAGCAGTTCCACCGATTTCGGGCTTTTTTTACTGCGAAAGCACAGTGTTTCCGACGATCATGCGCGCATTCTCGTTCTCTGTCTCTCGTTGCCCTTTTTACACTAACTGCTCGTTCAATCTCATTTGGAAAAAACTGTAATTGCTGCCGATTATTGCCACCGATACGGACAAGCCTACTCCTCAACAAACACGGGGGAGACTCCCTTTTCTGTTCATTCAGCGAAGTCTGTGGCCCCATTCTTTTTACACGACCTTACTGCCTAGTGCTGATTTGTCACATTGCCTCTGCCATGAACAAAATTCTCGCTGCACTAGCTGAGAAACAGTCATAATAGGTCTGGGCCTTCTGGTTTCAGAACACTGTTTGACGCACAATAGATACGTCAGAAAACTGAGTCATCCGTCATCTCTTCCACGACACAATTCTATTATTGTAATGTAGTTCCATGCCATATACTGGGTCAACATCGCATAGATCGAAAAGGTTTCTGGTACGTCAACATCGCATAGATCGAAACGTTGCTTTCGCAGCCGACGAAATACGACGTAAGCTCAATCATGTAGTTGGCCTTGCTCTTGTAATTTAGTCTAATATTGCCATATTCTTAATTTATTGGAGTCTAGGTAATATTGTCAAATTGGTAGTTTTTCTCTGCACCGTATAGGTACTTAATGCACATAGACATATAGACCGAACGTGCGTGATGTGCTTCTGCTTACTTCTACTTCTTTCATCCATTATACTTCTATAGTATATAATATTGGATTTTCTTTTCCTACAACTCCATATCACTTGCCGTCTCTTCTTTGATATTGGATTTTCTTTTCCTGCAACTCCACATCACTTGCCGTCTCCTGCAACTTCTCTATAACGACGTCTGCCGCTAGCTCTCCAGCAATCACTGCACCCTCCAGCATGCCCGTCCAGTCTTCTGCGGCTTCTGAGCTCGCGAACCAGATAGCTCGTCCAGGATGGTCATTGTTGAGTCCGCGAATGCCATGCGGGTGTTGGGGAAAGGCCATATTCTGGTCACTCTCCGGCATAATGTCTGTGTCATTACGCCACGCCTTGAATGTGACCATATCCGGGGAAGGAGCGTAACTGTTTGAAGGCTCTGCGCCTAATGTATTTCCTTTACTAGCAGAAATTAACATAGAAACACGCCCTAATTGCTCTAACACGTTCGCTAGAACCAGCTTTTGATAGGCTGTGCTGCCGTTATCGACGATGGTTTCCGCATGTTTTCCGTTGCCACTAACGTACTTTTGTGTCCAGGCTTGATAATCTTGTGCAAGGAGGCTCTGGTTGTTGCTGCCCAGGGCCACAAAGGCGACCAAAACATGCATTGGCTCACCGTCCACGATAACGCTCCCAGCGTCGTAGGCCTGAAAGGCGTGCGGTTGATGTTGCGGGTGGATCTTCGAGTACGAGTCGCCAGTCCCCGTGCCCCGTGGTAAGGGTAATTGCGTTCGCATCAATGCATCCGGACTCCACCACTTTTCTCGATAAAACAAAGCAATTTTTCCCGCTGGGCCCATCCAAACCGGCTGATTCGCCATTTGCTGCTTTACGTGGCGCGACAGGTTCAACGGCGTGTTGTTTTCCACTTCCAAGCCGTTTTTACCGTCATTCTGAGCGAATTTCACGTCACTCAGCACCTTTTTGGGTGGGAAAGCCAGAACCACCTGTCGTGCACGAAAAACGCGCCCGTCAGCTGTGTGCACGGCAACCACTGTTGGGCGAGTTCCACCTGTGTCTGCAGCCGTTTCAATAGCACCAGCACCCGACGGAGACGTCCTCGACACATCTTCGGAACCACTAGTCCCCCTATGAGAAATATGTTGCTCTTCTACGATCTTGACTACTTTAGCATCCATCTCCTGATCCACGTCCTGCTCTACACGCCTCTTCAGCTCTTCAATCAACCTGCCAAGGCCTCCTCGCATGCGAGCTTCTCCGCCGAATCCACTTTCTTGAGGTATCAGGGGTAACAACGGTTTCCGATTATTCTTTTTGGAATCGTTATCCCTGGCTTGCCCAGGAGTAGCTGATGAATTTTGCTGATCCAAATCTCGTAGTAGGCGCATCATACGCGGCTGTGCGTGTGGCCAAATCCACGCGGGTCCAAGGTCCGCGCCCTGCGGCGACAGAATGCGTCCCCCGATGCGGTGCGCGCTGCTTTCCAGCAAGAGAACACTCGTTTGAGGGCGTTGCTCCAACATGCGCATTGCTGTGGTCAAACCCGAGAGACCTGCGCCGGCAATGATGACATCATACACGCGATCTACCACCGCTGAAGATGCTCCACCACTTGCCATTTTCAATAACTTCTATTCTTGAAAGATGATAAAGATTAAGATTATAATGGCCGTAAGAAAAGTGTAGGAGAGGTATTCGAGCACAAAGGAAATCTGTTGGGAAGAATCAATGGCTTGCTTTTGAACAATGGGGCAAAACCTCAGTATATTGAAATCGGGACCAAACACAAAACAAGGAGTTGTATAGCATTCAAAAGCTATAAAAAAGCAGTAACAGCATGCACGAATTCACGTACAAATGAAATTTAATTGAACATCCGTCAATGAGAATGAATCGAGAGCTCGATTTATCAATTAGGCATGTCTAACATTCTGTTGAAGTGTCTGCCTTCCAACCATCCTTGTTTTCCTCATAGATTTATTTTGGTGGAACATGAAGATCAGGAAGATCGCTTTCGTCTTCTACAAGATTGATCCTGGAAGATGATCCTTCGACATTTCATTAATAGACCGATTGGATCACTGTTTTTTTCCAAAGTCGCGCAAATCTCCGGTAATGACCAACTATGAGAACAGCAACATCAGATCATGGTATAGCCTTCTTGTTTTTCGTTGAATCTCACTCTCGCAAGATGAAGCGTATAATAATGCAGAGTGAACGCCAGTAACTTCTCATGATCGAAGAATAGGTCTGTCGCAGAAATTCTTCAGTATACAAGCACCCAATACTTCTGCCTTGCATCCTGACTCGGTGTTCTCCTCACGGCTTACAACAGACACCTCTGTTGAATCTCTACATTCAAGACTTCCAAAACTCAATCCTATAGTACAGATGTTATTGGAACAGCATGGTGCTCCACCTCCATGACAGGGTAAGTAGATGATATCATATATAAATATGATCAACACATGAAGATCTTGTCTAACATAGTAATTCTTGGCTTAGTAGACAGTGTCGCTCCTGTCTGAAGTCTCAGTAGAAGAATGACAGTCGTCTTGAGTTCTATGCACATCATGGTCATGTTGTGTGACAATGACTTTCAGATGCACTGGTCGTGGTCGTAACATATTTTTTTCCACTAACTACTGAGAAGCTGGCTTCGCAACAATAAATCAATGGATATTTTTCGCAGTCGTGCTCGATGATGAGCTCACAGGTTGAATCGCAATAGCAAACTAATAAATTCAGTGAAATTGTTTTGTTGAATCTGAATAACAATAACTGGACAATAACTTGTTCTCCGATAACAATAACTAGTGACAATAACTCCTTCTAAGACGTTCTTTCTTCACGCGAAGAAAGTTGTTACTTGCTGCACAACGGCAAGAGTTCACACAAAGGTTGAAGTTCTCCTGCTCCTCTCTCCTGCTTAGACTGACACCAGTTGTCCGAGGTGTCCTGAACCCCCGCTCAGCCTTAGCAGACGGAGGAGGAGAAATCCACGCGATAGCTCTGCAATAATGACGGAGTAGAAACTCCTACGATTAGAGAACGAGCTCCGGATACTTCATTCCTTGATGAGTTCATGTTGTGATGTCCTCAAGATGATCCTAGTATGTGAAAGAGAAGCAAGATATGTGTTAAAGTAGTACTCCAACTCCCGTGGATGTCCTTGATATGTGTCCAACTCCCGTGGATCTCCTTGATATGAGACGAGAGAAATCACCTCCTGTGGAAATGCATTAGAACTTTCGTATGATTACCGAGCGCCCTAAAATGCCCACTAGAAGTATCCCCATCCTGAATTATCACGCGCGCCTTAAAATGCCCACTAGAAGTATCCCCATCCAGCATTGTGGCACTGGAGCAAGAGCTTCTGGCGAAATCGGGGCTTCGTGCTTGGCTTCCCGAACTTGATGCTCGTAGGATTGGCGACCTGTGCCAGCGAGCATCCCGTGTGTTAGCCCTCTCCATACATGGTGCATCATTTATTTGCATCCTTTCATTCATGTACCTAGCAAGAGGTAGTATCCTCTACTGTACACAGTCATTGCTTACACTCCAGTAACATACAGTTCCAAACCTAGATCATGGACTAGACTAATTATACCAGCAATACAGCAGCAGATGTAGACCATGATACTAGACTAATTATACTAATTTTCTTAACTAATTATACCCCATGAATAATGGGTACACAACTCCTACTACCTAACTCAAACGATGAAAATACCAACTTTCTTAACTCAAGCCTACGGTACTAGCAGATCTAGACTAATGCTACTAATTTTCTTATAACTAAAATATATTAATATTATATATACCCCATGAATAATACTACTACTGCTTAACTCAAACGATGAAAACAACCAGATCATCTTCACTGTGATCAACTGGGTTCGCAAGTGCTCACTCCTGAGTTTTGTGATGATCCTGTACTTCCCCATCCCGATGGACCACGACTACTGGACTCACTGTCGCGAATCCGGAAACAAGAGGCGCATGACGTTGAGGGAAATCCGCAAGAACATGCAGCGGAACAATGTGGAGCCCTTTGTTACGGCTTCCCCTAATAGTAACGTATTTATGTATGATCTCCCATTTTGAGAGAAGTCATCTTAGGTCGGAGAGAGGGTTTTATTCAAGGAGAACAAATATAGGGAACCTCTGCAGGATGTTGCACTATCTCAAGGCATAGTACTGTATGTTGTACACTACTCAAGCGAGCTCTAACGTTGTCCGATCCAAGTTCCACTTCCTCTCGGCCAGCCTGGTCGCGTGCCTGACTCCGATCAACTTGCTGATGCTCGTGATCGACTTCGTCCACTTTTTTTGGGAGATTGGGAAAGGCTACGACTTCTACCGCAACAGCATGGCGCAAGCCGATGTGGACGGCTGGTTCCAGAAATTCATGACCGGCGAATACATTGGCCCCATGCACGAGCGGTGCAGCATGAACGAGGGCTACGCGGCCTATCCCTGGGGCACCACCCTGTACTGCGCCGTACCCACGCCCTACGTGTGGCTGTCGCTCTCCGTGCTGCGCTTCAGCACCATCTTGCTCAACCTGCACACCGCCAGGCGGGTGCACCAGCACTGGAGTGACTGCAAACCTGGAGAAAAAGCCACCATGCAAGGATTCCGAGGGGAAGTGTGCTTTTTCAATTATGGCTCTTATAATATATGAATATTTAATTTCAAGGCAATCTTTTTGAGAATCAGAAGAGGAGTGTGCTTTATTTTCAATTACCAATTATATCATGTTGAAGACGCTAGTAAAGAAGTACTACTACAGACTCGTGTCGTATTAAAAACAAACTTCTCAAGTCTCTTTCGCTAATGCCTGAGTATGCTTCGCGAGAACGCCTTAGCCGCAGTTGCAGGAATGTTTGCTCCGTATGCGACGTACGACACCTATTCCTACAATTTCTACTTGCTGCAGCGCGAGATCCGACCTGGGTCCTTGTCTCCGATCAAAACTTGGTGGAACACCTTCCAAAACAACTCGACCCGCACCGCGCTGGTCTTGCTAGCAGCCGGATTCTTCTTCAGTTATGGTACACGCAAAATAGAAGTGACAGTAACGAGGTTCTTGCTCTGGTGTCTTTAGCAAAGAACCACGACTGGTGGGTATATCAAATGACCTGTTCTGCTTCTGTATGGAGAAGTTCAAATGATTTTACAACCTATGTATCAGAAGGATCATACTCTGATGTTGATCAAAACTATGCTAATAATCTTAATCTTTTTAGAAGATCTACATTGTGCTGTACAGCTTGGACTACAAGTAATTTGTCAAGGACTACTTGTCAAGGATTACAAGTAAGGCAGGTTATCTTAATTCCACAACCACATCGCACTTGTTCTTCCTCTTTCTGCATCCACTTCTAATCCCGTTACATTCCATGGCTAGTCGGGCGAATACGGGTCACCTTGCGAGATTTCGATTACACGGATGAGGAGCTGGCAAGAATGTTCGATAAAAGTTGGGCCTCCCATGAGGAAGAACTCGAGTTGACGATTTCCAATAAATTCATCAACCAAGAGAAAAGTCAGGACCTAGACTCTGGGAATGATACAGAGAACGAACAGGATTTTGTAGTCGTGCAAGGCTACCCGTATACACAACCTGGCGTTACTAGGGTGGAGGAAGAAGAAAATTATGGACATTGGGTTGAGGACGCGGGGAGGGAAACTCATGAAGGAATAAGTGGCCGAGAAGAAATCACATATGGTCATGAAGCTCCAGCAGCTGATAGGTTTAGAGACTCCGATATTCTAGGAGGACATCAATCAGAAAGCAGTGGCAGGGTACAACAACCGCGAAGAAGTGCTGCACTTCAGGGAAATATTAAAGTAGTGCACAATCAACGGCTTCGCAGGAATCGACGTGTTGCTGAACAGCCGTACCAGACCGGTGAAAATCGAGGCGACGCAGACAATGGACTGCCTCAAGCGTCTAGACCACCTCCACATCGTAAAGTCGACCAAGTCGAAAGAAGCGCGAGCCATAGCTATTTAGATGTCACGTCAAATGCCCCCCCTCCCGATCTGTTGTATCAAGACGGAGGAAATGATGGGCCGAATTTCGAAATCAACACCAGTGGTCTATCCGCCATGCTTCCGTGGACCCGCAGAGCTGCGAGTCCGCTGACTCAGAGAGGCGCGCGAATGTCGACAGCAATCATCCCGAGGAGAGAGAGCGACGCGAACGAACACCATGTTGGAGATGACGAAAGTGAAGCCCTAGAAGCCCTGTTTACCCGAACGGCCTCGGCTCCATCGCCTCCTGGGGTGACGGGGAGCGCCAGAGTGGACCGTCCTCGGAGATATTCCGCGTCACTGGCAGAGTTGGAGCAAAAGAACCATGACAACTTGCTCAAGCGTCAGGCCAGTCGGGACGCTGCGGGCAGAGCGTCCTCAGCTCGCTCGCAAAATGCTCACGTCGTGTGATTCGAACTGTCCGCTCGACTCTTGCGGCTGAGGTGATGAGTGCTGAGCCCCGAAACACTATAGTCACCGACAGTGACAGAGCAGGGCATTCAGTACAACTACAACTGCAAGGCATTAAGTACAACGAAATGAGCAAGACATTGCTCTTTCACTTACAGCTACAACTACATGATGACGCTGAAACCCGTTATTTTTGCAGTTCACTTCATGCTTCGGGCAACTGATTATCTCTCCAACAAACGGGTGTCGACAACGGCGTCTCTCGATGAAACTTGGGTGTGTTCTGCATTATAGCCTCTGTCACAATTCTCGTGGCCTCTGTTAGTCTCCTCACTCTCACACTAGCCTCTGTCAGTATTCTCATGGTTTTTGATCTCAATTCCAGAGTAAGTGCATCTTCTGTCCTCTCGAAATCACACGGAATCGGTGAGAGGGAAAGCAATACTAACGTCTGCACTCCTGCTACGTGATGTGTATGGTTGCCGTCATCGACTGTGGCCCCTCTTGTTGGAAGATAACCGAGTCATTGTGTCATCAACGAGCTTAGACGCTCTCGCATGCATGCATGCTACAGATCGCGTCTCGTTTTTTCACCATATAACTTGGTAGATGTAGTACGCGACCTTGTAACGCGCATTTGAATACGAACATAAGGAGACAGTTGCCTCCGATCAGATGATGCTCCTCCAGCTCGACTTGATTTGATGCAGACTCTGAGAATTTTAGCATAGGGTATGATTCTTTGTCCTAGACGGTGACTCTTCAAATTTTGTTGCATTCAGATTTGTTTCATTGGGATTGGTTGCTCCTGGTTGGAGGTAAGGAAGAGAAATTGGAGATGAGTATCTGCTTCATGGCCACGATAATTCTTTTATCCTGTACAGACCCTGGCGTGAGTCGAATGCAAGCGTTAGAAGCTGGGTGGATGCTAGGGAAACATCGATTGAAATACGAGTTACGCTAATTATTTTTGTATTTTAGTGGGAAATTGTTGAACTGATCTACCTCTACTGTCTACTCTGCGTTGTACTGACTCTTGTTTTTGGAATGGACTTGTTGCTAAATGGTTTTTTGATACGTTTACCTTGTGACTTCTACTGTGCAGATCTGTGGTACAATTTTCGTTTGAAAAATCGTGTAGATTCATTTTATACGACACTGCTAGACCTGGCGCCTAAATCTACAGGGGATTCTCTTAGTTTTCTTTATCGTCTTGAAACCTGACTGGGATACAAACATACGAGCAACAACAGATACGGGCCCTGTCGCTGAGACGAAGGTCTCTGCGTCGTAGATCTCCAGCAGCCTGTAACTATTAGAAGCGCTCGACTTGCTTGCACTCGTACTCCAGTCGCGCACCTAGCTTAGGAGTGACTCCAAGGCCGTTAGTTCCTTAGAGACTACCTGGTTACGAACCCGCACCTCCCCCAGGTCGAGTGATCAGATTTCAAGATATTAAGAAACTTCCCACGCCTTCATCTAGTTGTCACGGTTTTCGGCCGGAGCCCAGTCCCAGTCCGAAACTGCGAAGAATGCACTGCTGCTCCGTTCCACGTTCGCCAGATCTCCGGGTCTGGATACAGCGTACGGGGTGGTACTGCTGGAAGAGGCAGCACGGGCACGTTCGAGGCTGCCGGCCCTCTTCCCGAAGAATGAAGACGGTGGCGGCGGCGGCGGCGGGGGGCGCTGATCGCTCTCGTCGGCTTCACCCGAGCGTGTATCCTTGTCCAACATCGGAGGGTTTCCCTGTGGAAGCGGCGGCGACTCCGCGCTCGATGGAGGTTGCGGCGCGGGTATGTCCGGTAAATTCGGAAAGGGCATCGGGATCAGCCAAGGAGGTGGAGGTATGCTCGAGACTTTCTTGACAAGGGTCTTCAAGTTCCGCGCATTTGTGTCACACGTCATTGCATGCGCCACTATCGCAGTGAGGAACTCCCGAAAGAAGTCGATGCTGGGCTGCAAAGCGTCTTGAACAGCGGCAGCGGCCGGAGGCGGAGCTGGTACTGGAATTACTGGCGCGCTTTGTCCTACTCCATTATTCCCGGGCGGTTGCAGTTCTTCCCAGCCAGCTGCAACTTCTCCACTATCGACACGCCCATGGTTTTTCAGGCACGAACACCAGCGCACTGCTCTACTGTAGCTGCCTTCGACGATCCTGCCGCGTGAATATTCAAGGAGACGCAGGTCCTGTTCAACCCATTCCACTGCGCCCAAGAAGCCTCGCCGGGCGCACAGCCCGGCGTTGCACAACGCGACACCAGCCACATGGTAAAGACTAATCCCGACAGCCCACGCGTCAGAGTGAAAAACATTCAGCTTCCACGACACAATTTTATCCCCTGCCAGGTCTGCCAGTATAAGGATGGGATCGCTCCACCTGCTCTGCGTCCCCTCGTATTGAGCCTTATCTTCGCTCCACCACTCTCGCACAATAAGAGGAAGAACGGAAAAAACATCAAGAAGAAGAAGCTACCAACATTTACATAAACTAATATATGATATTAAGTATAATATTTATATAAAGTGAACACCTACTGAAAGTTGAGACAGCCGCGGTGGCGAGTGCTAGCAACTATACATACGAGAACAAACAAAAGTGGCAGTTCGAATATTTATTCGATGGATTTTCGTCATAACGCCTGTATTTTCCTCTTTTTTGCGGTTAGTTCGAAGCGCGTAGTCAAAGCCTGTGAGACGCAGTTTGTAACGGGTGCCGGCTCTGCCTTCGTCTTGTTCTACGAGGATGCTTTCTGGTTTTATGCCGCGGTGCGCGTAGCCGAGAGTGTGCAACGTGGAGACAGCTACCACAAGATCACGGGTAAATCCGTTGAACAAATGAAACCAAAAAGAAGCCGCCTCGAACTCGCTCCTGCTTTTGATATCTTCATAAAAGCGGCGGAGGCCCTTGGAGTTGACGAAGGAATGCAGATCGCCGAGCGGGAAGTAGTCTTGGACGTAAACGATGTTGAGCAGCTCCTCCTGCTCGCGCTTGGTGAATGCAGTCCACACCTCGTGCGTAGGTGCCACCATATCCTTCATGTTCTTGCTAACGTCAAGTTTGATGCAAATTCCCGCGAGTGCTTTTTCGACTGCTACAAGACCTCCATCAGCCCACCTTCGTCCCGCCGTGAGGTGCTGGACAAGATCTTCGGTGGTAAGCTCAAGGGAGCCTAGCGTATGTGGTTTAGCTCGTGCTAGGGGAAGGAGATCAATGGCACGTGCTAGGAGATCAGTGGCACTTGCCCACCATGTTTGTCTTGGTGGATTGGCTGTGATGCGGTTCATCTCCACCCGAGCAGTTGTATGCCGCAAGACATACTTCTTCGTCTGGTCTTCCTTATCTTGATCTAGGGTCATTTCATAGATTGTCGCCGCGCCGGCCTCCTTGACAGCCACTCTCGTCTTCTTCTGATCCCGCAGTTTCCGCAGCTTTGAGTTTGACTTTTTTGGCGGGACCTGGAGGTGCCACCTCACTTTCCTCAAGTCATAGCAACGCGCTCTGTCCTCTGATTGGTCAACATCTTTATCTGCAAGCGACAGGATCTGCCAAGACGAGCCAGATAGGAACTCCTGCGTCTGCGCCTCCTGAAGGCTTCTGTGCTCGTCTAATTGCTGGCTCTCGCCTGCTAGTTCTACTCCTTCTTCTTGCTTGTTCAACATTTCTAGACGATTCTTCTGCTTCGAGACGTCCACCGCGGGAACTAGGAAGAGCAACTGCAACAACACTGGCACAATCTGCTTCGAAAAGAGTAGCCGGGTACTTTGCAAGCCAGACCGCTTTCTTACTTTGTCAGACTCGGCGCAAGATGCCTGCTGGCAAGTGTCGGCAAACCTATTACGCCTCGAGGTCGAGATTGCTGGTGGTAAAGGTAATGGCAGTACTGGCTGTGTTGAATGTAGCAGTGTACTCCTGCAGAAGCTACCAGTATTGAAGTTGATGATTTGACTTTGAACATTGCCCAAGGCTACTGTTACTAGAAGAAGGAGGCGCACAAGAACTACTTGGAAGCTCTGCTTCACAAAGTGCAGCCCGGTGCCGTTTGAGGGAGCCAACTTCCGCCCTTCTTCAGGCTGCGCGCAGAGCAGCTGTTGGCAAGTGTCGGCATGCCTCCCACAACTGAAGACTCCTAGTGGTGGCGCTGATGATGGCGGTTCTGGTGGTAGCTGCCACGTACTCCTGCAGAAGCCAATGATGAAGCTGATGATTTGATTTTGAACATTTCCCAAAACTCGTACTTGTACTTCTTCTAGAAGAAGAAAGTGCACTAGAACCACTGGTAAGATGGAGATGCCCACTCCAGACCATCTAATTTGATCCACAGCGAAAATGGTCCAGCATGCGAAGAGCGAATCGCGGGCCCAAGAGGCGCGTGATCTGCGACGGTCGCCGACAAGCGCAACAAGATAGAGGTACGTGGCAAAACAAGCTGCTAGAGACGCGGTTGCCGTGAAACAGAGAGCGCCACCAGGTGAACCGGAGAATTCGTAGAGAGCGGCGCCAGGTGAACCGGAGAATTCGCAGAGAGCGGCGCCAGGTGAACCGGAGAATTCGCAGGGAGCGGCGCCAGGTGTGTCGCCGAATACCACAGGCATGACATTGCTCCACAAAGGCACAGCGTTTTCCATACGCAAGTTGCAACCAGCGTGCAGGTATAGATTAGTGCCAGTCTGGTCTCATTAGCCTTAGTCTAGGGAGCAACTTATGTGACGGCCCCCTTGATATCAAGCGTAATTGCGACTCAGAAAGAGGCCTCAAGCAGCTGGAGAATAAAGTACTAGCCTGCCATAAATAGAACTGCCAACAAGACGACCGACGCAACGAAGGAAAAACCGCTGGCGTATTTCCGACCGCATGGGTCCTCGAACGCGCCAGTGGTCTCCGAAAACGATCGCGGCTCCAGCGCGAGACCGTGTCGTAACCACAAACCGGTGTGCTCCCATGGCAGAGACCCGTCATTGCCGATCATCACACCAAACGGCGATGCCAAAAACGTCAGAAATATTGACACGATTAACAGCATCCTCCACGTGCATGAAAAGTATAGCGATATCCAGTCGTAGCCGTCTGCTGGATCCAGTAACGAAAGCGACGGCCCGCTCGCGGGTACTCGCGTACAGGTGCAGCCGACGTTCTGTGCGCTAATATTTCGTTGCTGACTGACGTCGTCCACTAATGTTTCCAGTCGTGACGTGACGGCAGCACTTCTTTGCTCAGCGCCATCGCCCTCTACTGATGTTAGCCTGGACGAACTAGAAGCACTTCTTCGCTGACCGACTTCGCCTTCTACTGAAGTTTGTCTGGACGTACTGGCAGCATTTCTTTGCTCACCCTCCTTGCCGTCTACTGATGCTAGTCTGGACGTACTGGCAGCGCTTCTTTGCTCACCTTCCTTGCCGTCTACTGATGTTACCCTGAACGTACTAGACGCATTTCTTTGCTCACCTTCCTTGCCGTCTACTGATGTTACCCTGAACGTACTAGACGCAATTCTTTGCCCACCTTCCTTGCCGTCTACTGATGTTACCCTGAACGTACTAGACGCAATTCTTTGCCCACCTTCCTTGCCGTCTACTGATGTTAGCCTGGACGAACTAGAAGCACTTCTTTGCTCACCTTCCTTGCCGTCTACTGATGCTAGTCTGGACGTACTGGCAGCACTTCTTTGCTGACCACCGTTGTCGTCTGCTGATGCTAGTCGGGACGTACTGGCAGCATTTCTGTGCTGACCGGCGTCGCCATCTCCTGATGCTATTTTGGCATCATGAGTTCGGTGGTTCACTGCCGAAACAGGGTTGCAGAGCACTTCCGCGCACTTCTCCTGCAGCGCAGAGCTCATCCGCGGCCGCAGCCGACCCCTGTCGTGTCTTCTAGCGTCGCAGCGTCGTTCACTGCTGCATGACTGGCCCGATCGCGGATCTCGTCTTAGGAACATCGTCGTCGACGAGAGAAGTTTCGAGCGCTGTCGCCTTCGAGGCGACGAAACCGGAGGCGCAACTGCAGCCGGTAAAGAATGCCTTACTGTCATTCTTGTCGGTGAAGCTGGAAATCAAACTGCAGATACGACCTGCAAAAGCGATTAATTCCGGCTGATAATCGTTCCGGTGGATAATAGGAAAGGGAAACAGGTATGCACCTGTCAGTCACGTTGCCATCTTCTTCTCAACAAGAGTATATTCGGAAGGGGAAAACACGAGTTCCCAATAGATACAAAATGTCTGAGTTCAACTGTGTTGTTTCAAAGAGCTGTGTGGATTTTCTGGGTGCAGAGAATACAATGCGAATTTTCATCAATTTGGGTCACTTTCGTTGTACTTCTACATAGTCACTTCAGTTTCTTGTTTCAACAGAGTAGATAAATCGGCGCAGACTCTAACATTGTTGATGCGACAAAGGCTTGGGTTTTCACGGTGAATGTACGAATGTGCACCTTTTGAATTGAAGTCTCGTGGTCAGCGAACTTCTTTCTTTCTCGTTAAAAGGACACTAAAACACTAAACTGATACTGAATTCTCCTAAAAACACTTCGAAACGAATCGACGATTTACAGTTCCACCGATTTCGGGCTTTTTTTTGCTGCGAAAGTAAAGTGTTTCCGACGATCATGCGCGCACTCTCGTTCTCTATCTCTCGTTGCCCTTTTTACACTAACTACTCGTCCAATCTCATTTGGAAAAAACTGCAATTGCTACCGATTATTACCACCGATACGGACAAGCCTACTCCTCAACAAACACGAGGGAGACTCCCTTTTCTGTGCATTCAGCGAAGTCTGTGGCCCCATTCTTTTTACACGACCTTACTGCCTAGTGCTGATTTGTCACATTGCCTCTGCCATGAACAAAATTCTCGCTGCACTAGCTGAGAAACAGTCATAATAGGTCTGGGCCTTCTGGTATCAGAACACTGTCTGACGCACAATAGATACGTCAGAAAACTGAGTCATCCGTCATCTCTTCCACGACACAATTCTAATATTGTAATGTAGTTCCATGCCATATACTGGGTCAACATCGCATAGATCGAAAAGGTTTCTGGTACGTCAACATCGCATAGATCGAAACGTTGCTTTCGCAGCCGACGAAATACGACGTAAGCTCAATCATGTAGTTGGCCTTGCTCTTGTAATTTAGTCTAATATTGCCATATTCTTAATTTATTGGAGTCTAGGTAATATTGTCAAATTGGTAGTTTTTCTCTGCACCGTATAGGTACTTAATGCACATAGACATATAGACCGAACGTGCGTGATGTGCTTCTGCTTACTTCTACTTCTTTCATCCATTATACTTCTATAGTATATAATATTGGATTTTCTTTTCCTACAACTCTATATCACTTGCCGTCTCTTCTTTGATATTGGATTTTCTTTTCCTGCAACTCCACATCACTTGCCGTCTCCTGCAACTTCTCTATAACGACGTCTGCCGCTAGCTCTCCAGCAATCACTGCACCCTCCAGCATGCCCGTCCAGTCTTCTGCGGCTTCTGAGCTCGCGAACCAGATAGCTCGTCCAGGATGTTCATTGTTGAGTCCGCGAATGTCATGCGGGTGTTGGGGAAAGGCCATATTCTGGTCACTCTCCGGCATAATGTCTGTGTCATTACGCCACGCCTTGAATGTGACCATATCCGGGGAAGGAGCGTAACTGCTTGAAGGCTTTGCGCCTAATGTATTTCCTTTATTAGCAGAAATTATTTTTGAATCACGCTCTAATTGCTCTAACACGTTCGCTAGAACCAGCTTTTGATAGGCTGTGCTGCCGTTATCGACGATGGTTTCCGCATGTTTTCCGTTGCCACTAACGTACTTTTGTGTCCAGGCTTGATAATCTTGTGCAAGGAGGCTCTGGTTGTTGCTGCCCAGGGCCACAAAGGCGACCAAAACATGCATTGGCTCACCGTCCACGATAACGCTCCCAGCGTCGTAGGCCTGAAAGGCGTGCGGTTGATGTTGCGGGTGGATCTTCGAGTACGAGTCGCCAGTCCCCGTGCCCCGTGGTAAGGGTAATTGCGTTCGCATCAATGCATCCGGACTCCACCACTTTTCTCGATAAAACAAAGCAATTTTTCCCGCTGGGCCCATCCAAACCGGCTGATTCGCCATTTGCTGCTTTACGTGGCGCGATAGGTTCAACGGCGTGTTGTTTTCCACTTCCAAGCCGTTTTTACCGTCATTCTGAGCGAATTTCACGTCACTCAGCACCTTTTTGGGTGGGAAAGCCAGAACCACCTGTCGTGCACGAAAAACGCGCCCGTCAGCTGTGTGCACGGCAACCACTGTTGGGCGAGTTCCACCTGTGTCTGCAGCCGTTTCAATAGCACCAGCACCCGACGGAGACGTCCTCGACACATCTTCGGAACCACTAGTCCCCCTATGAGAAATATGTTGCTCTTCTACGATCTTGACTACTTTAGCATCCATCTCCTGATCCACGTCCTGCTCTACACGCCTCTTCAGCTCTTCAATCAACCTGCCAAGGCCTCCTCGCATGCGAGCTTCTCCGCCGAATCCACTTTCTTGAGGTATCAGGGGTAACAACGGTTTCCGATTATTCTTTTTGGAATCGTTATCCCTGGCTTGCCCAGGAGTAGCTGATGAATTTTGCTGATCCAAATCTCGTAGTAGGCGCATCATACGCGGCTGTGCGTGTGGCCAAATCCACGCGGGTCCAAGGTCCGCGCCCTGCGGCGACAGAATGCGTCCCCCGATGCGGTGCGCGCTGCTTTCCAGCAAGAGAACACTCGTTTGAGGGCGTTGCTCCAACATGCGCATTGCTGTGGTCAAACCCGAGAGACCTGCGCCGGCAATGATGACATCATACACGCGATCTACCACCGCTGAAGATGCTCCACCACTTGCCATTTTCAATAACTTCTATTCTTGAAAGATGATAAAGATTAAGATTATAATGGCCGTAAGAAAAGTGTAGGAGAGGTATTCGAGCACAAAGGAAATCTGTTGGGAATAATCAATGGCTTGCTTTTGAACAATGGGGCAAAACCTCAGTATATTGAAATCGGGACCAAACACAAAACAAGGAGTTGTATAGCATTCAAAAGCTATAAAAAAGCAGTAACAGCATGCACGAATTCACGTACAAATGAAATTTTATTGAACATCCGTCAATGAGAATGAATCGAGAGCTCGATTTATCAATTAGGCATGTCTAACATTCTGTTGAAGTGTCTGCCTTCCAACCATCCTTGTTTTCCTCATAGATTTATTTTGGTGGAACATGAAGATCAGGAAGATCGCTTTCGTCTTCTACAAGATTGATCCTGGAAGATGATCCTTCGACATTTCATTAATAGACCGATTGGATCACTGTTTTTTTCCAAAGTCGCGCAAATCTCCGGTAATGACCAACTATGAGAACAGCAACATCAGATCATGGTATAGCCTTCTTGTTTTTCGTTGAATCTCACTCTCGCAAGATGAAGCGTATCTACTTATAATAATGCCGAGTGAACGCCAGTAACTTCTCATGATCGAAGAATAGGTCTGTCGCAGAAATTCCTTTTTCTTTTCTTCAGTATACAAGCACATAATACTTCTGACTTGCATCCTGACTCGGTGTTCTCCTCACGGCTTACAACAGACACCTCTGTTGAATCTCTACATTCAAGACTTCCAAAACTCAATCCTATAGTACAGATGTGATTGGAGCAGCATGGTGCTCCACCTCCATGACAGGGTAAGAAGATGTTGATATTATATATAAATATGATCAACACATGAAGATCTTGTCTAACATAGTAATTCTTGGCTTAGTAGACAGTGTCGCTCCTGTCTGAAGTCTTAGTAGAAGAATGACAGTCGTCTTGAGTTCTATGCACATCATGGTCATGTTGTGCGACAATGACTTTCAGATGCACTGGTCGTAACATATTTTTTTCCACTAGCTACTGAGAAGCTGGCTTCCCAACAATAAATCAATGGATATTTTTCGCAGTCGTGCTCGATGATGAGCTCACAGGTTGAATCGCAATAGCAAACTAATAAATTCAGTGAAATTGTTTTGTTGAATCTGAATAACAATAACTGGACAATAACTTGTTCTCCGATAACAATAACTAGTGACAATAACTCCTTCTAAGACGTTCTTTCTTCACGTGAAGAAAGTTGTTACTTGCTGCACAACGGCAAGAGTTCATGCAAAGGTTGAAGTTCTCCTGCTCCTCTCTCCTGCTTAGACTGACACCAGTTGTCCCAGGTGTCCTGAACCCCCGCTCAGCCTTCGCGTACGGAGGAGGAAAAATCCACGCGATAGCTCTGCAATAATGACGGAGTAGAAACTCCTACGATTAGAGAACGACCTCCGGATACTTCATTCCTTGAGTTCATGTTGTGATGTCCTCAAGATGATCCTAGCATGTGCCGAGAGAGAAGATATGTGAAAGAGAAGCAAGATATGTGTTAAAGTAGTACTCCAACTCCCGTGGATGTCCTTGATATGTGTCCAACTCCCGTGGATCTCCTTGATATGAGACGAGAGAAATCACCTCCTGTGGAAATGCATTAGAACTTTCGTATGATTACCGAGCGCCCTAAAATGCCCACTAGAAGTATCCCCATCCTGAATTATCACGCGCGCCTTAAAATGCCCACTAGAAGTATCCCCATCCAGCATTGTGGCACTGGAGCAAGAGCTTCTGGCGAAATCGGGGCTTCGTGCTTGGCTTCCCGAACTTGATGCTCGTAGGATTGGCGACCTGTGCCAGCGAGCATCCCTTGTGTTAGACCTCTCCATAGTGCATCATTTACTTGCATCCTTTCATTCATGTACCTAGCAAGAGGTAGTATCCTTGAGGAATATCATTAGGTTCGTTTGGGGAAGAACTCAGTAGGCTGAATACTTTTCAGGGATGCCCTTACGGATGAACCATTTTGAGCCTTAATCAAGCGTGACACGGCAACAGTCTTGCTCTTCCCTGTCGTAGGCGCCTGGACCTGGAACCTCGTTGGCCCTGTTCTTTGCCCATCGATTCGCTTTCGGGATCAAGTGAGTCTTCACGTCTTTGGCTGATGGAAATGTGAATGGCAGCCATGAGAGTTGAAAGAGTGACAAGAGGACAATAGAAATCTCGACTTTTCCAGCCAGGGACTTGCAAGAAAAGCCAACAACTGAAATCTTTGCTTGCACAAAGCAATGGTATAACAATGTTATTCACTATAAATACTGTACAATACCACTGAGCGGATCTCTCCACAGGGGTGGCCCGGGACCCTTTGATTCTTTGCCCTGACCCGCTTTCTCCCATCCTGGACATATGACTCGCTGATACGCCTCATAACCTAGTCCGAATGACTTCGCGGAAGCGTAATCTGGTGCAGATTGGAGTCGGGTTTGATTTTATCATGGACGACAGGTTTGGTTGCATCAGAATTATCCGAAAGGAGTGGATTTCGTCATAACAATGATGTGTAGTTCAGCGTGTAAAAAAAGCAAAGTTCAAAATCTCAGCAAACATGGATTACGCTATTCATCAACGTTCAAATTTCTCATCTCATTGTGACAAACGACATCAAGCAACTCTGATAAGTTGAACATTGATCGTCACTACAGTACGGCAACAGCAACAACTACAATAGACAATACTAGACAATTACGGAACAAAATACCGAGTTTTATTGCTGAGTCTTTTCTATCGTAATGCCCGGGTCCTATATTGCCTGAAAGTCCGGCAGCCCGTGTTCCCTCAAACCTCTCTGCTTTCCCAAATCGAGCTGCGTTGTTTTTCCTGAAGATCATGGTTCAGCTCGTTTACTAGATAATTGTAAAAAGTACTACCTAGTAGAAAGCACTTCTAATATTATGAGGATCTGCTTCAATGGAGATCGACTGAAAGCAATTCGACATAGAAATGTATAGTTGTATGTGTCGAGGTAAATACGAGTCGCACCAAATATCTGTCGTTCTTCTAGGTATGATGTGTCGTAATAACGCATTCATAAAAGTAAAACTCTTGTAAAAAATACTTTGTACAACTAAGTGTCTTACTTTGTCAGTGTCGTGACGTCCTTTGCGTGTTTGCCACGAACGTCATACGCTGGCCCTGGTGACGCACTGGAATAAGCTTTTTTGGGAAATCTGTTCGCTTTTGGCATTTCCACACCACTTTCCACGTTCATAGTACTCAATTGGTCAATGGAGTCGTAGTATCTGTCAGAGCGTTTTTGGGAAATCTATTAGTTGCTTAGACTAATTACCTATTACTTAGAAAGCACTTCTACCACGTCGTACTTCTACTAAGTACTAACAACCCGAAGCACTTCTAAGTACGTTCCCGCTCCAGGCACGTCACCTCCTGCATTCGCAGGACGATGCTGCTTCGTAACGAAGACCCCTTTCCACTCATTTTAAAGCTCAGCAATCAGTGGTCACTGACTCTGAACGGCAGCGACCCCCTTCAAAGCTCTCCCTTTTTCTTTCATTTATTTCCGCTGTTCTACTCTGAAGGGGAGGTCGCCTCTTCGATCTCAGTGACTCCAATCTAAATGGTGACCATTGAAAGTTGAGCCTTAATCATTCCAACCTGTTCTAGCGAAACTAACACTTGGTTCAGATCTACATCTTGAAAACCGCTGTCCACCGAGAGCATTGAATCCGCTCGAATCCGGACCGAAGTAGGCACCCGGTCCTGGCTCGACCTGTATTTGTAGAGTAGATAGTTGGAAAAGACAAGGATCAGAAGCAACATCTTCCCGTGTGTATGAGGACGTCCTAGAGAACGAGGATTTGAACGGATTTTGTTCTCTCATGACAAGTAAAGCATAGTTGTACAAAAGCGACAACGTCAAATGAACAATATCATCCGTAGTACGTCCAAAGATTCGAGTTCTTTTCTTTCTATTATTGCAGCAGCGCTTTCTTTGCCGTAGAGCGAAGGAAACTTCGACTTCCGCTCCGCATCAACTGGCTTTAATGCTGACATATTGATGTCAGGACTTCACACACCCAGAACCTCTCAACCTGTAAGCGTTGTGTCCTTGCTCACGGCCGCGCTCCTCACCCTGAGGGTTGTGTCCCTTCTCACGAGCTGCGCGTCCTGTAGCAGGCGCTGCAGCTCTTGCTGCTGGAGGTGGCGTGTGGAACTCCGAGCAACTCCAAACTCCACTGTGAGAGGAGCTTCTCCTTTAAAAGCTGCCCATTACAATCGCAACATATGCAGCATGTTGTGCAAAATAATTTTTACTGGAAGTTAGAAAGTGGCTACTAGTGCCTACATCACAGTCTGGCAGGAGTTTGGTTGGAGGGTGTTAGGTTCTGAAAAATAAATAGTAGAATCAGTTACGAGGCACGACGTCGACGAAAATCAAAGACATACAGTTAAGAAGGATGCTGGATGATCTATTTTCCTACCAAAACGACTACATAATTGCATATAGTTGTCCACTATCCGACAAGTGTGCGTCCGACAAGTGCGAGTCTTCGCGGGCCTAAAGCAAGGGGCTTCGGGTTCGGGGGAGGGAAGACGCGAATGAATTGAACTTGGTTAGTCTCAACGTCGGTCTTTAGAAAGTTCTCTCAGTGATCGATTCTTCCATAATATTGTCTACACGATCTGCTCCCAAGAACCGACACCATCCAACCGACGCGAACAGATTAGAGGGGCCAACGGAACTACGGCGCGATATCCATGTCACAGACGACTCTTCGATATTAATTTGACCCTCGGCAGTTAATAAAATCTACCGATGTTTGTTTCTCACACGGAAAATTCGATTCTCAATTTTCACACGAAGCTGCCCGCATGTTGACGTTTGCAACGCAAGAGCAACGGTGAGCAGATAAGTATTTTGCATTTTCGGTTCCTCCATGGTCGAGGGTCAATCGGTCATCTGCCCTTTTGATGCTCAGAAGCTCTTCAGTAATAATTTTGCACCTCCTAGAGCTAAGAAGGAGCACGGCAGTATTATATAGATTTACTGTAGAAGTAAGATACTTGATGTTTTCCTTCATCTTCTAACACCTTCCTAGATGTCCGCCTTGCTCATTTGTACCTCAACAACTTGATGCCCTGCCACTGGCCAAAGTGACTAAGATAGACTTCTTTAACGACATCTACTTTTATCCGCTCCAGTGCCTGCGCCCCTTCAAGCTCGATCGATTCGATAACAGGTTTGAGCAAAGTCGATCGATTCCATAACAACCCAATCAAAAAAAACATGATTCGACTAGTTAACTACAATATGTACTATGTATACCCTCCGAAATGGCTACTCCCGTCAAAATGCTAACAAAGGACCTTGCTATGCATAAGACGAGAATACGAAAAGCCAAGAATTACCTCCCCTGTTGAACCACATGTCTTACAATGGAATTGTTACTAGTAATGCTCATCTCTAACTTGTGATGTATTCCAGTATTGTAAAGAAGCGTCATCTTTTTCAACTACAGGACAGCCTCAGAGTCTCGGCTGCGTGACATAAACAAAGCCCCGTAAAACTAAATCTATACTGTTCGTGATTAAAATTCTAACACGAGTCGACCTGTGTTCTTCGTCGTGCTCATCTTAGTACCTGCTGTGCTGTAGTACAAGTGCTGTTCTACTCTCTTCTAGAACGAACAAGCAAAAAAGTAGAAGTTCTTGTACGCTTTCTACTTCTTTTTTTATGTAAACCAAGACAAGCCTAAATAAATGCAAAGTAGATCGATCCTCCTCTCCGTGTAAACAGAGAGAGAGGCGTAAAATAAGCTTTGAAGCGGAGAGAACAGCGCTTGAAATGAATGAAGTCTACATCTAGAGGTAAGTAACCGGATATACCGCAACGCAACGCATCCCCTCATAATACTGTCCAGAGGCGTAAACACGTTCTAGAATGGTCCTCTGCCGATGACGTAATGTACGATTGGAAACCCTGTCCAAGGACACCGCGTCGCGGATGGGTCCAGTAACTCCTTTTCAATACAAAGCGTTCTTCACTTTCTTCTTCTCTGCTAGAAGAGCCGACGGCTGCATCCACTTCCACCCAGGATTAGCGTCAGCTTTTACTCATCTCGGTCCCCTCATCTCGACCCCTTTCCCGTGAAATACTCAAGGGAAAAGGGTATCGAGATGCTGAGAGAGATGGATAAAGTCTGACCTTAACAGGAAAAAACTTCATGTGCTCATTTTCTTTCCGCGCTCATGTCAGCTCGGGTTTTATTTTCTCCAAATGCGCAGGAGTGAGCTGGTGATAATTCAACTCCTGCACAGACGTTTGCCCAATCTCGTACAGTTTCAACATCCCCTGCTCGTACTCATCTACTTTGATATTAGGTTAATCTTCAGGCTCCCTTGGTTCCAGGGGATCCTTGGTGCCTCGCTTTCTCTAGGACACACTATCCATCCTCGTGTCCTCCCCGGGTCCTTGTCCTCTCCAGTCTGGCCCGTACGATGGGTCCTCTTTGCAGAACCTCTACTGGGACCATTGGCCTTGGGCTTTACTGCTGGTTGTTGTACAGCATCTTGTCCGAGGAGACGTGGTCGCTGTTCTTGTACACCGACCGCCTTTGCTCCTTTATTTGCACCTAAATATAATTTGCACCTTTTCCTTTATAATTTCCTACCACAGCGTGAGCTTGACGTTCATTTAATAGCGCCGCGTCATCCTTAGGAGAGCAGTCGGTATAAGATGCAGTTTCATGAGTGCTTCTGCGCTTCTTCTGATCGCGCAGTCGCCACAGCTCCGTCCGAAATAGTCTTTCAGCCTCATCGCGACGTCTCTCTTCAAGCGAACGCGTCTTCCCCACGTCCGTCCAACCCCTTGTCCTTGTCCTCCATGTTGTGGCAATTATTTTCCTGCTGGCAAACAAGAGTTGTACCAGCAAAGGGCTTGGCATACCCTCCAGCAGACGCCTTAATTCTAAGAGCAACAGCCTCCCCGTGCAACGCCATGAATCCCAAGACCAGGCTAAAAAGACTGGAGAGGACGCGGCCACAAGTAGAAGCGAACATTTTGTTTTTCGATTCGGAGATTTATTCTTTTTCGCAGAACAAGATCCTGATCCTCCTGTTATTATTATAGAATAAGAAGTAAATGTAAACTGATTTAGGATTAGGGTGTACGTGTATTAGGAAGCTCTATATCTTGATCCGAAGTAATACCTAGTAGAGAAAAATCAATGACCCGCCCCTACTTCGAAATTCAATTCGCTCAGGCAAATGTGAAGCTTGTCAATCTGACTAGAATATTGAGAAAATAGTGCTACAAGAATTTCAACCGACTTAAGATTTGTCGGTCAAGTGATGTTCAACCATACATGCTCTTTTTTCATAACCTAGAATACTAGGTGCTCGAATCGGTAAAAGCACTTGTTTGCGCGAGTAAATTATTATCATGATCTACCAGCACTCTCCCTCGATGAAACCAAGTAAAAACCGAATTTCTCGGTTGGATCTACTAGATTGAAGACATCTGCCTGATCTCCAAAGAACTCGAACTTACAATTTCTCTTTATGCTCCTCTGTGCTTGGCAAAGAACTTCTTAGATTTAGATAGTCCAAGATCTAAGCCGACCGAAGGAGGCAAAGATCTTAGTCCACAGTCTGACACGGAGGCGACGCGTCCTTGTTGTGCAGGATGTATCGTGATGAAGTGCCGAAGCTTCTCGCGGTCCTAGAGGCGTAGGCATCTCACAGGTCACAACCTCTCCTGAGGATCACCAGAGAGACCTTTGCTTGGTCCTTCGTTCTTGCCAAATGCTTCTGTCATCTTGCGAATAGCGTTCACCTTACTCCACTTCTGTTCGAACGTCCGGAAACTTCCGGAAACTGTATTCTCAACTTCGAAAAAAAAACGACTATGAATACCTGGTTATTAACTTTGTGCTACAAAGTGCAGGTGCATTGTTTGAAACTATCGTGGTATAATTAGATTTCATAGCTCCCGTCCCGGTGCCTGCGCACTGCGTCGTCATCCCGTAGCAACGCCGCTTCGATATAGTGGTTCTGATTGCTCGTGTCCACTGCGGTTGGTGCTATTTCTCCCCGATTCAGCTTTTCTGACAGATCTCTCACCTTGTCCTCCCCTGGCTTTTTCGCAACGCTGAAAGCGACCGAAATTAAATCGGCATGTTCGTCCGCAGACCCACTCGACGCAGGATCTCCTTTCCCTGGATCGTTTTGTGCAGACGCATCAGGCCCAGCAAGTGACTCCCCACGCGCAAAAGCGTTTGAGTTGGCGATAAATTTCGCCAGATTCCTTCCCAAAAGAACATACTGATCCCGCAGCCCCGTCGAAAAAGCCAGAAAACCAAACTTCTTGAAATTCAAAGAAAACTTAGAAGTAGAACAAGATCAGTGCTGGATTGTATTTCCTTTCAGCCTGGTGGTGGTGACTTGACTGAAGACGAGAGTCCTACTTACATTGTCTTTCAGCCTGGTGGTGGGGACTTGACTAGAGTCAATGATTCTTTGAATAAAGTGATCACTCAAGCAGAAATGCTAGTCCTAGTTCCCCTAAACTGCTACATTTACATTACAGGAGAAGTGGATTCCACCCCGAATCTAACTAGTGCACGTCCACAGAATAAACCAGATAATCTAAAAAAAAACCTACAGCCTTAAAAAACGCCGTCTGGTCGTCGTTGTTGTTGTGGTAGTTTGGGTACTCGGGAAAGCCTAAGACCGAGGCCTCTTCGGTCATGATACGCGGATCCTCACTATGAATCAACCATTGCTTCGCTAGCTGCAGCGATAAAGGTGTTTTGCGCGCCATAATGAGCGAACTCGCAATCTGATTGCCCTCCACTACTGCCCTGAAATCCATGTCCGTCAGCACAAATGCGTCTCGCTTACTCCGGATTATGAAAGAAAAACTGACTCATGGAGGAATTACCACTATCAATGCCTCTTAAGATTAGGCACAATATGTAGACCTATTAACTTTCTTACTGCATCGAGGCACAGACCTGTTGTCATACGTCCTGCATAGTTTCGCAGGATTCCAAAACATTGCAAATAGAAAAAGCAGGCAGTCAAACTGAAAAATCGATGCTCATAAAGTCTCCTTCCATCATGACGGTGCGGCAGCCAGCGACATCAGATCCGCGTAGATACCGAGCCACTAAAGGTCTTAAATCTTGGAGGAAACTCACACCTGCGTCAGACCAGACGACTATGGAGTCGTCTGGGGCTGCCTCTAGAGCCTGCAAAAAAATAAACGCCTTCCACACGTAGTAGCCTCTCTTGGCTGTCGGCGTCTTGTGGACGGACTTTAGAATTTTCAAACGAACTCAAAATTTTCATTATCCTTTTTACTAGTATTCGTGGTACTGAAGAATTCTAGAGTGAGGTTCGTATTACCTATACTCACGTGTACCTTGTGGTGAAATGAATTGATATTCATCTAGATTGAGATTCACCATTAAGCTCCAACCTTAATGTGAGTGCCGGATGTCGATAGTACGTCAGCAGGGCGTGGTTGCGCGTGAGGAATTCTTCTGTCATTAAAGCCTGCAGCATTACATTCTTCAGAACGTCCTTGGCCGGTTTTCTACTTGAAAACAAGCCAAGGATGTCGGTCCAGGATGTAATCTGGAAACCCTTAATGTCAGGTGTGTTTCATTCTGCATTTCCGAAGAGTGCAACAGTCCTACCTCCAAAGCGGTATCGCTACTTCGCTTCTGATCTTCCGCACAGCAATTCATCGCGAAGTTCACATGATGCATCCACTCATTCTTGAGAAACCGCATTCCTGGTGGTATCAGAGCTACGCTTTGAGGGGGGTCTTCTCCCTCAAGTGTCTCCTCGGGAGAGAATAAGGTTTGGACCCAGATTTCCTCCGCTACTGGTTTCCGCGGTGTCTCTGTTGCTCCCTCGTTGTTCGTCGTCGCGCCATCTTTTGTTGTAGGACCCTCCACAGAGGATGAAGAAACCGCCTCTTTCCCCTCTCTGATTGTGCACCGCTCGAACGTGGGTGAGTCACACACGACACCTGCACACAAATCCGGTCCCAAAGCCATGCAAACGTGCTTGGCTCGCTGTACCGCGTTCACAAAGACGTGGTCCAATTGTGCGGCGAAGCCCCTCAGCGTGCGCTGATGTAGCACGCGCCACCCATCTGGCATGAAAACTTTGGACCTTTCCTCTGGCATAGAATCAAAACGCTCGACCATATCTCGATACAAGTCTATCACAGGCCGTCGTGGTGAAAGAGGCTTCTGCGCACGTCGCATCGCTGCGGACACATGGTCTCGGAACTCCCACTGTTCTTCTGACTCTGCTACGTCGCCTTGTTCTCCAATATCACTAGAAACTGATTAGAAGCACCGACAACCCATCTGTTAGAGCATCTTTTAGGCTATTCCAAGAAGGAACTGGCTAAAGGATGGTGTGAGAGATAGGTTGACGGTACCCTTAAGCTGAAGTTGTTGTAAAAGCCGCTTTTGTTCCAACAAGGTCATGCTCCCTTTCCCCCTTGTACAACTCGCGAAGCACGTCGCGACCTTGCGCGTCCCAGGTGTGCGGCTCTAGCTCAAAGAGGACTAGGTTTCCCCAGTCGCCGTACCAGCTTTCACCTGTCGCGAATGCATTCTCAGCATCTAGAAAGTGTACGTAGGGCAAATGAGTCCGAAACTGTCCTCGATCCTCCCCAAAGGAAATGCTCACTACTGTGTCCGGAACGTGAGCACCGAATATCAGTCTTGGTAACACGCGCGCGAACACCGAAAAGGGAAACTTGTAGAGCATCGATTGTTATGAAGGCGGAGATGAGGCAGTGAGAACGAGCCTCGATCTAGGCGGATGTAAGTAGAAGTCAATAAGAGCACAAACTAAAGCGAAGGAGTCATCAACATCATAATGTCTAAGAGGTGAACTAACTACACAATTCCTATCTTAGCCTAGTGTTCAGCCTATAAATGGTCTGACGACAAGGAAATATATCCGCTGATCCTAGTTCGCAGCTAGTGGCGTTCCTTCATAACAGAACATCGTCCAAAAACCGCAACGCAGGTGGCGATGCCTTCAGAAAAAGCAACTGGCGTTTCAGCTGGTGAGACTGGTAGAATTCTGGTAGGACATTGATATCTGCTTCCCAAAAAAAATCAAAGACTCCGCATTTTTTAGACACTTTTAGCTTACGTATATTCATCTTGAAGCGCAACATGATCTTGGCCGTGTTTATACCTTCAGAGATACAACAGGAATCAATGATGCTTTGTCATCGCAGACTCTTTACTGACTACACGAGTATTCTCAAGCACTCTATACTGACTGTCTGCACTCTATACTGACATAATGCTTCATTCTCAACAAGATGAATCACGGGTGCAAAAAGCCTTAATTTTGATGAAAAAATGGTGCAAAGTCAGATACCCAGCGTCCACGCCAGCCAGTAAGGCTAGTCGCAAATAGCCCAATTGCGAAAGCAAAGGCGTTGTAACTGACAGTCTTGGCAAACAAAACTGCTCGTACAGAAAAGGATATTGGGTCAACAGGCTTTCGAGAGAAGGGACATCAGACAGCGCGGTTGCGATCCATTCTGACAAATAACGTTGTTCGTCGTGGTGGGTTTCTACTTCTCCTCCTCCCTCAGTTTTTCTATCATGATCCAGATCTCCAAGCAGCTGCTCCCGCAGATACGCAGTCAAAGCACTCTGGCCGGCTGCGCCTTGCTCCTGGAGCAAAAACAAAGCATCCCGCACTCCCGCGTGACAGGAGAGCCTCAGATTCGGCTGCTCGTACAGCAAAGCTACACCGCCATTATCACGCGACCTTCGCAGGTAGCGTTCCATGAAGTCTGCTACACGGCTTACTTTATCTGGTGTGACTGGGAAGAAAACAATGCGACCGCGACGCGCGAGTCGGTGTTTGATCAACCCTGCGAGATCGGGTAAGGCCGCCTTAATGCTTTCCTCGGAAAGGCAGTCTGCAGCAGGCGCAGTACGAGGACCTACCGAAGATATAGATTTTGTTTGCTCCTTAGAAGTAGCGTCCTCAAGCACTCGTGAAGAGGACAAACTTGTTTCACTCGAATAAAGCACGCCGTCGCCCACAGCATCGCCTGCCGGTTCTCGGACACTTGCAGTAGAAAAATACTTACCCCAAGGCAGCTGGTTTTGAAACAGCATCGTTGGCAAATCCAAGCGTGCGCGCTTCAGCAGCGAAAGCGCATGCTGCAGGCCAAAAAGCCGCCACCGGGAGTGCAAGACTAAAAAGACCATGTCAGGCGCAAGCAACCGCGCTTGCGTCTGAAAAATCCGCTCCACACCGCGGAAAACGTCGTTTTCATTCAACAGCATGCCAAAAGCCCGTAACGCACTAGCAGCCGCCACTCCGAACCAACACAAGTTCAGGCATTAGAAGAGCGAGCTCGTGCATCGATCTAGAAGCAAGCACTTCGAAAAATGACTTCCTCCTCGAGCCACGACAGATCTTGTAAGTTATACAAATTGAAAAGTCGAATCACGAAGATGCATTAACACATGATAGACGCAAAAATATTTCATAATTGAGTAAGCAATTATGGATACTATATAAGATTAGAAGTCCACCTCTCTTCCTCTTGCCGTAAGTCCAATAGCTCACTGGTGCTCCATCCAACATCGTATTTGAAGCGCTTTTCCACACTATACCGCTCCCAAAATCCATAGCTTCATCGAGAGAGCGCACCACAGGCTTAGGCGTGCCGTCTGGGTTGTACTCGGGTAAAATCGGCTCGCCATCTCATGAAGCGTCAACAAAACATGAAAGACCTAGAACTAGATAAATTCGCAAAACATGAATATAGAGCCATGTGCGAAAACATGAAAGTGAGAGCCATGTATGTAAGAATAAAGCGGTTTCAATTACAACGACATCTGCTTGATAGTCATACCAGAAAGCTAGACTGATTGTGGGTCTACGCCTAATATCAAATTACGCTGCCTACGCCTGACCGGGCTAAAACCATGAACCATCAAACCTGAATACGAAGGTCGAGTGGAAAACAGATTTGCCAGAGAATGAATGCGCAGAAAGTCAAAACAAGTTCATAGTGAGAGCTGTAATATCGCTTCGGATACCGCACGATAGGTGTGTCGTCGAAAAGGATGCCAGACCAAACTCGGATGTGCTATTTCCTCACAGTCTTCTGGGATGTTGATAACGCCACTTGTACTGGAGGCTGCTAGCTCCGAAGATTCAGATTGATGCTGTTGGGGCTTTTCGTGTAGGCGTTCTTTGTTAAGAGACAGTGCTTGTTAGAGGTACCACCAGCCCACAGTTGAGAACATCTTAATCTTTTTATTTTAGCTTATTCCAAGGAGGAATCTGCCAAAAGATGCTCTTGGGCATGGGTTGGCGTTATCCGTAAGCCTGTTCTCGATCGAGGAGAGCAAAGACGGGCCAGCGCGACGCCATGATTTGGAGGTACTCGATGCCCGAGACAAGTTGTAGGCAATCTGTGGCAGGAAGCTGTTGCGCACCCAGACAGGCTGTGAGTTTTCCAATGGGGCATCCTGGTTGCGCCAGTGCTAGTCGCGATGCCCCGGCATCAAGGATTCGCGTTGCAGGACTGTTTCTGAGGTCATGACCAGCCGTCTCCGGAGTGAAAGAGTTAGAAACGGTGAATTTTTGGTAGATTTCAATAAATTCCAGAGGAGAAGCCCTTTCTTCAAAGCGTAAAAAACGCGTGAAGAAAACGAATATTTCTAATGTAATCCCAAAGCACACTGTTCGTTGCACGACGCGACAACCAACAACAGTTGACACAAAACAACTTCAGCCGTCGTAAAAAAGTGTCCTGCGCCCTCGCTACTGTAGTATGCTTGTACTGCCTCCACTGCCTGTTGCTGGAAGCGGGTCCAAAAGGAGGACGCTACGCAATCCACATCGGTCAACGACAAAGGCTCTGCAACGTCCTTTAGACCTGACCCGTCGCCGTCCGAGGGGTTTTCGTACTTCGCTGTACCAACTACATCCTCGTGAAACTTCCTCCATTCGTCGTCGTGCTGCTCTGGTGCAACAGACTGTCCGCGGACGCCACCATTGTAAACGAACAACAATAGGCCCGCCAGGAAGAACGGACGACGGTACGCCATCCCCAGGACTGATCTTGTCGGAAACATCTTTATCATCCTGAGAGCAAAGCAAGTGCATCGCCCTCAGAACTAGGTGCCATAGACACTAGTGATTCGTCCTGTGACACGCCATGATTTCGTTTCTCCTCTAGCACTCTCGTTTGGCTTTAGGCACCTCTGAAGCTCGCGAAGATCTCTCTGACCAGTACAAGAACGCTCATACAGTATACAGCACATCTGCTCTCATAGATTGGTAGAACATACATCACATTCTTCTTAAACCGTGTCTTCTTCGAACAATATCCACAATGGCTAGTGCTGCCCTGCGAGACGAGATGTAAAATAATGCACAGAACTCCCCAAAACCTCAAACTGTTCAGTGAATCTCTAATCTTCGAGAGTACATTCGGAAAAAGATGAGGGAGAAAAAAAAAAAGGTCCTGGGGGACCACGAGAGCCTCCTAACAAGGATCTTCAGCAAAAGCAAAAGTGACAAGAACAAAACTTGGACACTGAAAGGTTGAGTAGTACTCAAAATTCCGTCTCGTACGAGTGAGACAGATATTGAATACGGTACTCTAAAAATTTCTGTCTTTCGCTGTTGTTGTTTGAATCGAAGCGCAAGTGCTAGAAAAGTTATCTTTCGTAGACTACAAAAAATTCTATCGGCTCAAGCTCAACTCCGGGAAGGCACCTGATGAAGACCGTTAGCTCAGCTAATTCCTCCTGTAGTAGATCGCCAAGAAAATGAAGTTTCGCCTTGAAAATCGCTCTGCAGCGCGTTTCTAAAAGTCGAAGTAGCTTGCAGCGAAGAGCAGAAAAGCAAGAACGCAAGCCGTGACGAAGAAAAGCATAACCCAATGGTATTCGGCAATCTCCTCATAAGCCTCGACGTGATGCATGATTTCTGCCCAGAGCTCTGGGTCTTCGAGCTGCAGGGCTGGCGGATCTTTTTTCGGAAGCAATTTCCGCAAAACTTGTTCCGCTGTGCGCTTCGCATTTCTACTTCTTTCAGCTCCATACTGAGCCGCACTTGTAGTCTTGCGTAAAGAAAAAGAAGTAGCACGTCCCGCCTGTTCAACGTCTGAAAACGACGAACTAGAACTAATATCTTCGGTGGTTTTCGACTGCGGCTCATTCATTTCCGACCCTAGATTTAGAGCTTTCGCGTTGAGAGCCATATCCTTCCTTCCTTGAGAGCCATATCCTTCTTGTGCATCCGACCAGTTCTTGGACTCTCGATCCCTGCTGCAAGTCAAACACGTAGACTTTAGAGGGCCGCGACGCTTATGGCCCAGCTTCACATCCCGAAAAAAAGCTTCCGCATCCTGATACCCACTCCAGAAAATACCTTTGTTGAAAAAAGTTTTCCCGCGCTTCTATTTGCTTCATCTTTTAGGTAGTTAGGAACTGTCAATCTCACAAATAGAGGGATGATGACATCATTTCAGTAGTTCTTCAGTTCGTTGGTACAAAACCGGATATCAAATTCCTTTTGATCTTTTAGGCTGGATTAGTTTTCAAAGAGAGCATCAATGACAAGATCATTGACGTTGGTGTTACAAATACAATGTACCTTTGAGAACTGTATCACTTGGCGGAAAGAGGACCCACCAAAACGGAATAATGATCCTCGGTACAATATCCGCCGTCGGTGCAGAGAGTGCAGACACTTTCACTACGCTGTCGTCAGGATGAAATGTGCGCCATGGTACCAAAAATGTAAGCCACGCCAAACCGTCAATATACCACTCAGTCTTCTTTGCCGCTGGTGATCCAAGCGATCTAGGAGAGCCGTCGCCTGCTCCCACGGAAGAAGATGCTGGTGATCCAAGCGATCTAGGAGAGCCGTCGCCTGCTCCCAAGGAAGATTAGAGCTCACCCAATTCCGTCTCGAAATGCATCCTAGGCGCCTTTTCCCCTTAAGAAGCCGCTTCAGGATGCTTCCCAAGATGAATTAGGGAGAGCCTTAAGAAGAGGATGTTGTTCCCGTTGCGGACTGCTCGAGGACTGGAGATATTTCCTCCTTACGGCCGTGGATTGCTGCGTGATCCATGCGGAAGGGCAGGACGCCTGCTGCGATCGGCACATGCGAGCTTGCTTTCAGACAGCTTTTCAAGTGCGTCGTTGTGCTGAACTCGGAAACGATCTGAGCGGTAAAGAAAGGTGGTTTGGTCACTCGAACTTTCGTCAACAGTACTCGTAGCCGGTTGTTCGCGCGTCTGTGCATGTTGGGTTCCATGAACTTCCCCATCGCCCAGTCAAGCGCCTTCATAGCTAGCGGCGGGTTGCGCCCACAGAGAGGGAACAGGCTGATAGCGTAGTCGGCCAGCGCTTTGATGTCGATGCCGGTAGCCAAAGCTCCGCCGACCAATGCGCCACCACTGCTTCCGCTGAAGCCCAAGCTGGCGGGGTTGACGCGGCGAGAAGTCTGTGCTGCCCTCTTGCTCAGCGTGTGCGGCGGAAGACGACCCCTGACAGGTGAAGACGACGCGAATTTTGACGGAGAAAACTTCGGTGGCTCTCCTAAGAACTCTGGTCCTCCTCGTAGATGATAGAAATTGTTACTTCGATCTTCTCGAAAATTCTGAACTTCATTTCCTCCTCGTCCTATTCCTCGACTTCTACTACTTGCTGCGCCTCCAAGTCCTCGCGTCGGTCGCGACCCCTCTACAGAAGCCGCTACAGACGAAGGTGTGGTCGGAACCCCAGTTGTTGCTGTTCCCAGCGGACTGTCTGCGCGGATCAAATGCTCTAATTTCAACGACACATCCTGGTGGATACTATTATGAAAATTCGAGGTGGATAACATTGATTTCGATTTATTTTCTTGTTCTTGTGGTCTTGTCCCGCCACCGCGTGTTGCTCCTCTAACATGTCGACGATGATCTTCGCCACTGGACGGGGTCCGCTCACTAATTTCCGGATCCATGGAAAGGTCATATGACGCCTTCTCTCGCGCAGTAGTCCCGGATTCGTCCGCCGATGTGAGACTTGCGCTGCTCCCACTATGCGAAGAAAAAAGTGTGCCTGCACTCGGATGTTGGTCTCCGAATACGTTTTGGTCCCCCAATGCGCCAGCGCTTCGAAGCCCCAACTGCCGTTCCCCTCCACTGCTCCGCCTTCTCGGTCGCCCGTTCTTATCAGGGGAAGACGAATGTGCCGAGTCGGAGTCCTCATGATTTCGGCTGCTTTTCGTCCTGTAATTCACCTTGTAGCTGTTCCGGTTCCCATCTCTGTTTTTACCGGGACTCCCATAGCCATTGCCTCTCGACGGCCGTGGTTCTCTTTCTTCGTCCCGCGCGAACAGCGCGAGCTTCTGCGAAACGCGCTGTCGAAACGGAGATTGCGTTTCGCTGAAGCTCGCGCTCTTCCCCCGTAGGCGACTTGGCGGAGAAAACCTCGCTCGACCTAGTTGTCCTCGGGATGAAACTGGTGAACTAGTAAAGTCTAGTTCTTCCTTCCCACGTCGTGCCTCCATCGAATAGGGGTGATTCGTCATGCGCCCGATCACGTCTTCATAGGCGTTGTACTCCTCCAGATCCGCCTCCGTGAGCCGGCCAAAACGTCGCTCTATTGCGTAGGCCACGCCGAAATGGTACAGGTAAAGCCATCCAGAACTATCGAAGCTAAACATGAGCTGCGGCTTTCGATTTCGTGATGGCAACGCAGTCAGTGGCACTTGTTGATCTGCTGGTGGACTATCAGATTTCTGGTGAAGAAAGTTCGGTAACGACACCGAGTTCACGAGTCGCCGCTGCTGCCCGACTTCTAAAGCTCCTCCTGCTGCCGGACTTGCTGCATCATCTATTGCGGAAGTAGACCCCTGCTCCGAGGCATCGTCCTCTCCTGTCGAATCGCCTTGACTACTCGCAGGAGTCGCTGGATGAGATTCCGTCTCAGAAAAGTCGGGTGGCAGATTCGTATCGAGTTCGACGAAATGGGCTGGGTGTCGACCCCCGGCTGCCATTTTCTCCCCCATCTCCTGCAGCACCGCGCTCGCTCGTCGCTTCAATGCAAGTCTTAGAACTACAGTACATACTCCGTAGTTCTTCATCTCGAGAGTAAGCATCCTTCCTTGAAGACGTCTCTCCCTACTTCCCTTACAGAAACAGGAAACAAAGTAACAAGAAGTTTCTTGAAGAAGATGCCACGTTCTCTCAGTCTCAAGATGAATTACAGTTGAGCCAAGCCTTAAAAGTCCGTCGTTCGCCGCCGCCTGCGCCAGCGAGGCCATCTCCGCGAGCGCCATATCATTCTCGCTCGCCGGATTTGCTGGGTCTTGGGCCTGGAAATCGAGGTACAGCATGAGACCTTGAGACATCACGAAGCCCTGCCACAAACACGCGAACGCTGGCATACGCCCGAAAAAGAGACCCCAAACCGAATGTAACAGCAAACATTAGAGCGCACACGACTAATCTCCCACTTTAAAAGGTACATGTGATTAGTAGTCAGTATCGGAGGGAAACAAGTAGATGTCAATTATCATGGTGTTAGGTAAAGTTCATCAACAGAAGCGACAAACGTGGAATGAGTGACTGAGTGAGAATGTGTAAGAGATACATTTAAATACTTAGCTCATCTCGGATCTGTTTCCCCGTATCTATGGGACAGTCCCTCCAATATGTTTGTACTTTCCCGAGATGGATTAGACGAGGAAGCCTTAAAAACAAGTCATCTGCCAGATCTGCACCTTGACCACGCGGTTCTTCTTCGCAGCTGCGTTGGAGTCATCGGGGAACAAAAATTAGAGCCCAAAACGATTCATTTCTTGTCCTCTTTTCTCCCAATCCGAAGAAGGAAATCGGGATAGATGGCTTGTAGAAATGAAGTGTATTGAGCCATAAAAGACGGCCCTTGCGTAGTAAGCGTAGACTATAGCATTGGTGCCGCTGTTGCACACAATCACGAAGCCCATATCCCCGTAGCCGCCGTACCTTGCCGCCAAAAACCACGACCACAAGTTCAAGAGCCGCAGATACACATGCAACCCAGTGAAAATTAGAGCTCAATAAAAGAATGAACTTGCTTCTTTCCACCTGCGTTTCGGTTTCTCGCTAGTATGAAGATCCTCAGAAAGATTTATCCTCAGAGAGAATCAAAAATGACGTGTGGTGGAAGAAGTGGATTGCAAAAATGAGCCTTAACAAAATGCGATGATACTTCTTGCGCAAGACGACAAAAAGGATATCCACCAGTTCGGTCACGTGCAGCATGTAGTGCAGCCAAACCATGCACGCGAGCCAGGGGGACCGGAACTCCTTGCCGTTACCCCACCAAGCTGCGAAGTAGCCCTCGACGTTGAGACCGAGGAGAGAAACGAGAATAGGCTGAACGAAGAGCCTCTGGAGCGGCCAGGCGAGTGCACTCGCGCACGGCGCCGCAACGTACTGCGTGAATAAGGCGAACGGCACTCCGAAGAGACCTCCGTTGCCGCGACCATGAGCGCTACTGGTGCCATCTGAAGGTTGCCGTGAAGATGTTGTGAAAATACTCAGCAGTCGCTGCTTAGTACTATGGGCATCGCCCAAAATCGCACTCGTTGCTGCCGGCGACGCCGGTCCTATCACGGGCTGCAAGACCAGACCTCCGTAGGTCTGCACCGTTTCGTGGTGCGAGAAAAGGCTAGGGGACCCCTGCAGCCTGCGACATTCCGCGAACGTCATGCAGCACACGAAGACATTCGCCAGCATCTGCGCAAAGTTGTAGATGAAAAGGAACTCGAAGATGAACGCCGAGAAGGCGCTGGACCTGCGCCCCATCAGCCGCACGCCAAAGTAGATTGCCACGATGTACATCCAGCTTAGGAGCAAAGGCGAAAACCAGAACGGACGTATGATAGTCGCCCACGACTCTCCCTCCGAGGATTCCGGAGTACTTCTAGAGTCTTGCTTCGTCGCCCGCTCGTGCATGCCGGTGGCGGCCCCGTAGAGCGCGAGAAACCATCCCAGGAAAAACGCAGCGGCAAGTACCACGCGGCTCCACAGGAAGCGTTCGCTGATAAAGTCACGTAATAGCGTCGATTGTGTGGTGTACAGGCGGCGTAGCTCTGCTGCTGAGAGCGAATCTACGTTCTCGGCCATTAGATGCATCTGAATCGCCATGTTATGGCGGAATTGCCGCGCACGCCCTAGAGCCTCTTCAGCCTGCTGCTCTAGCTGCTCACGCCTTTGCAGCACCGCATCTCGCGCCTCCTGCACGCGGCCTTCAAAACTCTCCTTTGCTTCTAGCACACGCTCTCCGATCGTTTCTCTTGCCTCTAGCACCTTCTCAGTGATGTCTCCGAAAGACTCCCTCGCTTCTAGCACGCGCTCACCAATCGACTCCCTCGCTTCTAGCACACGTTCACCAATCGACTCCCTCGCTTCTAGCACGCGTTCGCCGATAGACTCCCTCGCTTCTAGCACGCGTTCGCCGATAGACTCCCTCGCTTCTAGCACCCGCTCCCGAGCAGACGTCAGCACTTTCATCTCTCCTAGATCGAGGGATTCTAAAGACTCGCGCGCCTGCTCGAACCGCTCGCGTGCACGATCTAGATTGATAGACTGCCAGTCTGGCATCAGCTCGTGTACTTGGTCTGGCAGCGCTCTCATCACCGGTGGTAGACGCTCTAGAATTCTCGAACCTTGACGACTCGCGTTGGCTTCGTCGTCCTGTAGGTCCTGAGCGCCAGCCTCGGAGCCGTCGGCGTCCGGTCGTATTGTAGGACTTCTTGATCCCTTCGCATCACCAGCTGAGGCATCGCCCGCTTTGACACCATCTGGTTCCTTTGCAACTACATGTGGTCTTGTTCCATCACCTACTGACAAAGTCATCACGACTTTGCTCCGCTGCGCAGACGATGCTTCAACATCAACAGGTACGGTCGGTGCGCATGATGATGATTGGCCTGCAGCGACCGAAGCAGCTGTATCAACATCTGGAGGACTTGACTTTGACTCTTTCCTTCTTGTTGGTGCTGACGCGAGATTCTGCGCGCCTCGCTTGGGGGGAGGAGACCCCGACTTTTTGCCACGCCCCATCCTCGCTACGTGCTAGGCAACCACGACAAAGATCCCCATTCTCGTTGCCATTCTCCATATCAGCTCCACTGCTGGAACGTATAGAATGGACTGGACGAACGCGCGAAAGGAAAATAAATTGACATTGAACTACTAAAAAATCCAGCCTACAAGACACATTAAGACACATTGGGCAAATTAAGTCATTAGAAACGATAACTACCTGTAAAAAAACTTTAGTTTTCGAGAACTACGAGAAGACAAGTGCGATGAGGTAACTCGAGCAAAGCGACTGTCACGAGCATACTCATTCTTTCGAGCCTACTCAAACGAGTGCACAGAATACAAGCCATTCTTCATCTTGGCGAGAAAGTGAGAATGCAAAGAGGGGAAGAAACAAATGAGAGGTAAAACAAATCAGGGGAAAAACCTCGGGAAACTGGTGTAAGAAAATTTGGAACCACATAGAAGTTCTTCAATCCTTTTGAAAAGGCTTCTTCTATCAAACCTTTTCACACCACATCTCATCCATCTACTCGCTTTTCCCTCGTATATTTTATAGTGAATGTTCATGTTGTACCCTACTGAATGCGTGGCCAACACCGAATGGTTGTTGTGGAGGATCCATGTCATGGCCTTCTTAGTCCGATCGAAGCATTTAATATCTTCCAAGACCAGCACGATTTCAATTCTACTACGCTTTTGAGGCCAAAATGGCTTCGAAAAGAGAGAACAACTTAACTCACAAGAGGTAGAGCATAGGCACTCGAACAATGAATGCTACAGGATTAGAATGGACTTCTTTGGTTGAATCAATATGAGAGCAGTAAATGTGAATAAAAAAGTAGGTACCTCAAGGATGAGTAGGAGTTGGACGGCGCTGTTGATCGAACATCATAGAGGGGATTGAGTTTTTGGAGTGCTTCTCTTCCAGGACGTTGCACTGTGTAGATTGTCGCCTTTTTCCTGGGATTCATCGCCACTTAGCTTCATCCTGCAATTACACTCTGTTCCATAAGTAACTATCTAACATGATGCTGTTGTTATTGGTTCTTGACCACTCAATTTATGACACTTTTTTTGATGCTTGTCTTTCACTTTCTGAAACTGAAAAATTTGATGGATGACCATAGAAGAATCGATGATGAACAATATGCTACGGATTTGTTTCCTGACCTATGTCTTTACCTGCTAGGTGTCTATCACAGGGAAAGAGGACATAGCTAAAGGATTCAGTCAATAAAAGGGAACGAGAAGTAGACGGACAATATAAGAGGGTATTTGTATTCACCTTAGATAGATTGCGAGGTTTTGTTCTGATGGAATTGATTTCCAAGAAACAAAAGTGCGCACAGCAATGAATCTGTACTTAAGTTAAGAAGAATGGGGTGCGCACTAGATCAAATAAACCCTTTTTTCCACGATCTGTAAATTTGTCTTTTTGCTTGTGTTAACAAAATAATCGCACTTCTGATTGCTTGGTGTAAAAGAACTTAGTATTCATCACCTATTGGATTGATCAAGACTGAAGAAGATATTGTTCCCGCAAAAGTGTACTAATATTTAGGTCTGGTAGATCTTAGTTGCTGTTCTTCTACCGGTAACTGACTACAATGGAACGAGTGGTAAGTACTCTCACCGAACATAAAAAATTATAGCGACCAGAACGAGAATACAAATTTATCCAGTTCACGTGGACTGAAAAGTAAAAAAATTATGTCTAAGCACAATTCAATTTCCGTGCTTCAATAGGTTTTTTTTTGTATCGCGGGCGAGTTCCGTGAAGAACCTGCCGACATATTTCCCGCGTAGTTACCGGCGTAGGGGGGAGCTCTTAATCTCCTTAAAAACAACTACGCTAAAAGCCCCTACGATTTTAATATGAACAAAAACTAGGAGAAAAGGCGGGGAAAATTACACACCTAATACCTGCCACCCGGGGAGTTGCCCGTCTCACCTTCCCGCGCATTTTGTGAATGCTAGATTTGGGCGGCGGAACGTTGTCCGCTTAAATAAGTTAATTAATTTTTTGGCCCTGGGCGGAGCTGCGCGGAAACTGATTGGCGAAGGAAACTAGTCGGATGCTTCTGACTAAGTAAGAAAATGCATGTTGATTAGATTGGTGAAGGCACACTACGTGCTACGTGCTATGTGCTTATAATCAATCTGCATCTTCATGCATCACCCTCTTCTTGTGGCCAGCTCCTCCCGCTATGCAGCCAATGAAAGAAAAAACAAAAAGCAAATAATTGGAGGGCTGACCCCGACCAAAGGGGCTACCTTAAGCCTGATAGCCACAACCGGGCGGGAGATAACCAGATCGGTGAGGGAGAGCGATGGGACTCTCTCCCCCTTTTAAATAAGCCGCTTGACTACGCTAAAGCTACTGACCATCTGACCCAAAAGCGCGGCGCGCTCGGCACACTCAACAAGGCAGATAAAATCACACAAACCGCTCCGGGGCGGTAACCTTTGCATTCCTAGGAATTGCGGCGCACGGTCGCGGCGAAGCTCTCCGCACTCCGACAGAAGTAGATTTTTGCAACTCAGCTGAGTGTAGACCAAAGGAATGCCACTCGCATCGCGCGAGACGGAAAGAAAACCGCGAACCCCTCTGGCGTTCCCGAAAGACCACTAGGGATTATCTCATCGCTCAAAACAGATGGCTTCTTTTTTGTAGACAAATCAACTAGGTAGTGGTATGGATACGATCAACATTTTCTTCGACGAGAAATTCTACAACGGTAATGCACGGCTGCCTTTCAATAGTAACGAACTACGTTTCTTCCTAATGAGATAAGTACTCAAAAACACTTTGCCTTTCATTCTGTCTAACAATGGCCTGCAAAAAAAAACATTTACCATCAAACATTCAAATTGTCGTAGGAAAGAATCTATCCTCATATCTTCATTAGCTACAATGTCCTTAACACATCAACTCTTCCATAATAGGCAGCTGTTATGTAGCAAAAGTATTTCGATTTCTTGAGTACTAAATGTTTCAGTAGACTGACTGACTCGTCGTAGTTGTGCTAAGTGTGATACCTTAGGTTTCACCCGGCTCTCTTGTTTAGACGAAGCCGAATCCCTCACGTGCCATTTCAACCGCCTGTAGCAATTTTTTCCGCAGAATGTCTTTTGAGGCGTACTCAGGCACATCGAGTTGATTGAAACACGTATGCGCGCTGGGAAGCCGCTCGGTCGTGTGGGCTCGGTGAATCGAGAATTTCTGTGGTCCGCGCATGCGATTCTTAGAAAAAGGAAAAAAATCTTTAACCCTAAAGCTAACCTAATCCTAAGCAACTTTGACCTCAGGCACAGGTGAAACTTGGAGGACAAGAACTTTGGATGTATCATAGTCGTACCTTAACCAGTTATTCAGTAGCACACTAATGAATGGATAGTCACACTAACAACTGTGGATGAAGATGAAAGATTATAAGACTTCGCATAACTTGAAGGTTCTTGAACCCGCCAAGCGGAACTTGCGAAGTGCCCGTCACAAACTGCAATAGCCACGCGCGCTGCTCCTGCGACATTTCCTCCACGATCTCCCAGAACCAAACGATCTGCAATGACGTTGCCGTGTAATTCTGGTACCTGTTTTGTTTCATGTCGGTAGATTCTTGATGTTTCTTGATGAAGACACCAGAATGATAAACATGCAAAAGTCTGGTATTCATAGATGAAGAACGGTAAACGCCTAGTATAATCTGCTCATTGATTAATGTATTTTTTTGAAGCCAGTCGTGTAGTCGCCGACTCCGCCAGCCACAATACAATACAATTAATCTCGCACAGTTATCAGTGCAGACTGCACTCAAATTCTTGTCGTTCAGTGGAAAAGTTGTTTAACTGAAGATTAGTACTCCGTATTCATCCTTAGATCCTCCAGGTCGATTTCTGGCAAGCCGCAAATGAGCAGCTCCAGTTCTTTCGAGTCGAAGATTTGAATTTCTTGGGGCATCAATTCGTGGAATCCCTCCAGAAATGCCGCGACCTGCTCTTTCACCGAACCCAGCAGCTTGAACTCGCACATCCTCTGGATATACTCCTCTTTGTTCCTGTCTTAGAGCTTTGATGCTGTTACCCTTGAGGTAACGACCTGCTTTGCTGTGACTTACCTCTGATGTTACTTGCCTTTGACGTTACCCACTCTAGTGAATGTTATTTACCTTTCATGTTACTTGCCTTTGATGTTACTTACCACTGTTCGTATACGTGGTTGTTACTTTGTTTCATAGTTCTTAGTCTGGCCACGACTAGTCACATATAAATTGTGGCGGAGCCGACCTAACTAGAAAAAAGACAGACCAGAGGAAGATATAAAAGAGAAAAGGGTAACTATAGTCTGACCACGACTAGTCACTGTAACTAATCGAAAAACTGAAATAAGCAAGTAACTGTTCAGAATAAGCGAGATACTGATGAAAAGGAAGAGTAGCCTTGACGTTAAGCTACCTCCCTTATTTAAGTCAGTTACTCGGTTATTTTCAGTTTTCGAATATCTGTCACTTATAAGTAACGATCTTGAAAATTATCAAAAGTGAGACCACGACTAGTCACTTATAAGTAACGATCTTGAAAATTATCAAAAGTGACAAATCTTTTGCCTTAATCATTGGTGACCTCGATGTCGCGTCCACCCGGCACTAAGTCGTAGGTTTTCGTCTCACCGAATTCCTGCCGCTCGGCTGTCATCGACAGATCCAAATACTGCACGTCGTTCTCACGCATATACTGCACGTTCTTGTAATAAGTCGGATCCAGGAACTCTAGGTCTTCAGGGTCTGTTCGCTTGCGAAGCATCAATTTGTACAGGCCACGCGTGAAGTAACTGAGCGATTTTTGAGTTCTTCAAGTTATTTATCAAGGTAACTAAAGCCAAACCAAGCAGAAGCAAGTATGATTTTTAACAGCTAAATAACTCATTCACAAGAAATAAGTACTTGATTTTTAACAGTTATAATATAACTCATTCACAAAAAATCATAACCCATTCACAAAAAATCTTCATTGGTGTCAGTTTATGAGTGAGTGCGCCCCTCCTAGGGTCGTTATGGGTAAACGAAATACCTTCCCATGTGATAGTTGTCGTAGATGCACCCCTCCTAGGGTCGTTATGGGGAAACGAAATACCTTCCCATGTGATAGTTGTCGTAGATGCATATCGTATAAACGAAATACCTTCCCATGTGATAGTTGTCGTAGATGCACTTCCCGATAATCCTTCCGGCAAATTTGAAGAAGTGAAGGTGGGCCTCGTTTACGTTGCTCGCGGGATTCGGATGGTACGTTGATATCTTGCCGCCCGCCGGCTCGAATAGGGCGTAGCCAGGATTAAACATGTCCTCTCCCAACTTTTTATACCACTCCCTGAAGAAGGTGTAGTTTGTGAAGAATGTAGTAATCACCAGGAATCTAGTACCAGACAACAATAGAGTAGTTTATAGAGTGACAATCGAAGTTTTCTAGCGAGATGCTCTAACATGCAAACAATCTTTGGCAATCATAATAAATACTCAAAATGGAAAATATTTGTGGCGTCGCGTTTTTCTATAGTACCGTGTGAGACCGCCTGCATCCATACCTTCTTCTCCCTGGAAATTTACCACGACTTTCGCCTTGAACTCCTCGGCTGTTCTGTGTCTGAGCTGATGATAAGAGTCCATGAAGACCTGGTCTCGCCTCAGGTTCAACCTAATTGAGTTGCCTCGGATACTCGGGTCCCGCCTTCCCTTTATCTTGGATCGAAAGAAGTTCTGCTTATTCGGAAAGTCCAAAATATGAGGACAGTAACGAACCTACGTTCGTGGGTGTGGTGGGATTGACAATCTCGACATGAACTGAGAAAGACTCAAGATACCTCGTTGTATCGACACATTCGTTCAAGTATGAACTCATTTGCAAACTTAATACTAGTATAATCAACCATGATTTATCCACATCGCAATCCACCCGAAGATGTTGATGTTGTACCAGAATCGTTTAATATAGCACCCAACGATGGACTACTAGAGTAAGTCATTACAATGGGCGCCATGCTCTTCTGTAGCAGGTTCGGTTGCTGTTTCACGTTGTAATTGATCGCTTTCGCGTGTCGCTCTGAAAATTGCTTCAATTTTCGTATTCTCGCGTTCTCCTCGTCTTCTTGACTGCCAACTTCCATCTTCAGGAAGTCTTTTTTGTCATCTGGTTTCTTCTCCTCTGTACAGTGAAACAAAAACAGCGCTTCGATCAGGGGCATTTGTTTGGAAATATCGACTTCAAAACCGGCTGCAGTCTTGCTCGATGTCCTCGTAAGCTGGCGCGACTGCTGCTCTTGTCCTGGAACCGCTAGGAGAGAAGAAGAGGCGCCTCCTCCTGAGGACTGCTGTAGTTGTGTTCCACTCGAGGAAGCAGTTGTAGAAGCTCCGGTTGCGCTAGATGAAGAAGTAGTTGTAGTAACTTGGTTCATCTTCTGGGTTTCGGCGTGCTCTTCGGCAACGCGTGTTACTATCTGCAAACTGCGATCCAAGGCGTTCCAGAGTTCGTCCACACCTGCCAGGTCTAAGAACTCCTGTAGTTTCAAAACGCTCTTCTGCTCTGCACTCTCTTCTTCGGTTTCTGCCGTTTCTTGCTCTCCGTCACCCGCTCTTGACGAACTACTCGTCCCTGATGGCCCTGCTCCAGCACTACGACTGGATGACGCGGCCGCACCCCCGACTCCTGCAGTACCAGAGGAGGAAGGCTGTTCTGTCTACTTGTTAGACCTTGCCTAAATCCATCCTGGCCAGCATCTTGGTTCATTTTCCCCTTCAATAAATGGGGCCAAGATGCTGGAATAGATGGACATTTTCAAGCCTTAATTTTGTCACCCACTTTGTCACTGGGTGATGAACCGGCTTTCTTGTCAATTCCATCCTCCTTGCTTTTGTCGTCAGCGGGAACTTGGATCGGAGGTCCAGCCTCAATGACGTTCTTTGCCCAGCTAGCCGCGTGCTTTCTCTCGGCTACAAAGACTTCCTGCAGGACTTTCAGGAGACGCAAAAAGATCGCCTCTTGGACGTTTCCGTAGGATCCAGCCTCATCCTGCTGTTCCGCTAACGTCCTTCCACTACGCGAAAGACGTCTTATTATTCGCGATGTGTTTCCTAGCAAAAAGCGATACATCATCTGTCTACGGGGACCCACCTGCAAGTATTTGTCTGCCAGTTGCTGTCGCCGTCTAGATTCCTCTGCCTTCACTTCCTTCGACTTCTCAGAATCCGTTGACTTTTCATCCACCTTCTTGTCGCCATCCTTCGTTTTATCCGTCTTATCGTCCTTCTTGCCGGATGATGAAGCTGCGCCCGCGGCTGCACTACTCGCCGCAGAGTCAGCAGCTGCTGAGCCAGCAGAGGCTTGCGCCTGATTCTCAGCGATGCCTTTTGTCACACCATGATCACTACTACTGCAAGTCTTCTTTTCACCGTTTTCAGCGTCGGCCATTTCGACGTCACCCGTGTTAGATGCCTCCTTTGCATCTTCCTTCTTCTTTTCTTCTTCGCGGTAGGCGTCATATCGCTTACGCGCATCACTCAAGTCCGCTGTCGCGACTCCGTCGATCTCGTCACAGAAAAGCTGAACAAAATATGGAGATTACTAGAGACTTGCACTTTCCGAACTTGTTGCTGAACGAAATATGGAGAAGAACTTGCGTACTGTTAGTGGTTGTTGTCTCTTCACAGTGCAACACAAATCTAAGTCAAGGCTAAAAATTAATATCATGCATCCAGACCGGAGTCCAAATAAGACTTAAAATTCCACATGCTTACAAATGATAGTATAACGTTTAAATTCTGATAAGTACTTGAACGACAACGTGTTTTATGCTTCGGAGAGCTTTTTCGTGCTCATTTGTCGGCGCCAGGCAGAGGTACTGCACAATGGTTCTCAGGCCATCGCTCGTCAGATCAGCTCTGAGCTTCTTCTGAGTTTCTAACCCCTCAGAGTCTGTTGGCGCGAGAAGCAGGGACTCCACTGTGCTCACGAGCCAGCCGACGTGCACTGCATTGTTGTACCTACAAAGGTTTTGAATACCCGACTAAAACAGTGAAGCAGTAACACGAATCAAACAGACGGCATCTTCATGAAATTATGATCAATCTGTTGTATATAAAATGTCCTAGAAGGAGAGAGGGAATGTCAATGAAGGTGCAGACTACATGTCGCATCGAAACCTATCCCACAACCTTCAACCACAACAATTACTAATGTACTTCAGAAGAAAATTGCTAGCCAAGAATCAACTAATAGATCATAAACTCAGTACCCGACAACGTCGAGCAAGAGGATCAGCTTGGAAAGGTTGTTGTTTTCTAGAAAGAAGTCGGCACTTGGAACGCGCGTCACTAGATTCATCAACGCCTCAAATGCTCGTCCGCGCAGCAACAGTGCCCATGCTTGCCTCGACAGTGTAGCGGTCGCGTGACGTGCCGCCCCACTCAGAGCCGACGCGATTAGCACTTTGTTGTTCTGCAACGAAATACTACTGGTGCTATTGTCCACTCCACCCCCCAGCAAAACGGTTGCTGATGAGGATGAACTAGCGGCCATTATGTTTCCGACACTGGTAGAGGACGTTGTTTCACCGGTAAATCTTCCCCGCAACAGGTTCGCTGCGGTTGCTGCCGTGACTAAGGGCATGTCTTCCGCGATGTCCATCAGAGAGAGTCCCAGAGAATCCAAAGCGCCGACACTAGTACTAGAAGCTGAGGCCGCAATTCTTTTTGATGTGCTGCGCGTAGGAGGGGCAAAACCAAACGTGTTTGCTGTGGACTGCGGAATGGCATGTGGCTTGCTGCCTGACGACGAAGACGAGCCGCCCCAGATCGGTGGGTAATCGGAATGAAGTTGCGGCAACATCGCTTCTGCTGATGCAGTCGTGTCCAGAATGTTGCTGACATCTCCCCATACATGTGCTAGAGAAGTGCAATCGTCGGCTGCTGCGCCTCCTTCAGCCGAAGCTAGAAGAGAGGTGTCGCTATCATCATAGCACAGGAGTTGCAACAAGAAGCTAAGAACCTGCATCTTCGTCGAAGGATGAAGGGCTATGTAGTACAGCAACTGCCGTAGCACGTAGTGCACGCGCCAGTATCTTTGGAGAAAAAACACGCGAAATAAACCCCGAACTTGCGCTGCGTCTAGAAGCTCCAACTCTCGGAGTCGGCTGTCGGCGCCACTACCTTGATGTCCACCGCCAGCGACAACTGCAGTGCTCGACGAAGACGAAGAGGAAGCAGCACCAGCAGCATCTTGCCCACCCTTCTGCTGGAACACGTTCAGTACTGCACGAAGAGACTCCGCAGACAATGGCTCGTTCTGGTTCGTTGACGAGAACAAGACACCTTGCTCATCGTCGCGCCTCTCCTCGAACGACGTGCCGTAACCACCTAATTTCTCATCGAAGATTAACATGCTTTGTTATGTATAAGGAAAGGAGAAGTACGTCTGGAGGGATCGACGAAAATCACAGAGATTTGAGACAAAATGTATGACCTCCTCAAAAATGCTTGGTCTTTTTGCAGCAGCTCTTTATCAGGGTTAAAAAGCTCGTGTAGATAATCCTCCTTGCCCAGAAAGGCTCGGCGTTGGATTTCTATCTAAGTTTGTCATCCTTGAAGAGTTGCGTGCATTTTTGATTTAACAGAATTTCCGATCTTCTCGAAAATAGATACATAGCTCGACCTGCTACGGCTAGGTCCCAACGGGTACATTCTGTGTTCTGGCATGGTTCATTTCAGGGTTAAAAAGCTCGTTTGCGATAATATTCAACATCAGTAGTCTGGGTTGGACTTCTGATTCGATTCTATCATCCTTAAGGCCATGCGGGCGCAGTCACTAGCTGGTCATAGGATCAGTAGCAATATCAAAACCGAAGATCTAGCCTAGCAGAAAGCCATTAAGTACACCGTTCTAGAAGAGAGAAAATTATGATACTCGTAGTTGTGGACGTCAAAAAATGATACCCGTTCCTCCGTGTGTCATACTGCCAGTTGATCGATGACCGAAAAAACGGGCAAACTCTGGACCGTCCTCCCCAAAGACTCGGCGCATGCTGATTCGAGGTGCGCCACCACCAGCATCGAAGCCGAGCAGCGCATTGAGACCTTGGCTTGGGTCGCCCAATATGGCACCAAGCGACTCGGGTCCGCCTGATATCGTGAGCTCCGCACCCAGTGGAAGAGACGAGTTCGCGGCAGTCAAACCTGCTGGATAATATATGTCATTGCCATCTCTTTTTTCGATCGTGTTTTAAGGAGGTCATATAATGAATGATCACCGACACAAGAGTCTTATAAGGAGTTCCACATTAGCAGAGTACTAGGATTAAGATTTTCCTTGTTTTTCAGACTGGTGACTGCCTGATTCGTCAAAAGCTGTTAAGAATATAACGCATTGCTTACCAATGGCGTTAAGCAAGTTCCGAAGATCAAAGTCGCCGCCCGCTCCGTGAGAATGAACAACGATCCTTTGGGTCGCACCGCTACCACCCTGCGCTTGCTGCGCCGTTTGTGCTGCTTGCTGCTGCTCCCGTACGCGCCTGCGTTGTTCTTCGTCTCGTGCCTGTCGCTGCATGCGCGCCTGCTGTGCGGCAGCGCGTCGCTCTCGGATCAAGTACGCCTCTGCGCGTAGATCTGGCGGAAACGTAGCGAGGACTTCGTCCGGAGTTTCTTCTAGCGTTTGAGCCCTCGTCTCCGGGTCCAGCATTGCGAAGAATGTCGCATAGTCCATCGCATTCGCGTCTGGCTCGGCACTGCCACCCCCCTCGCCGTCTCCGGACGCCACGTTTCGCTCCAGCAAGCGACGCACTTCTTGCCGCAAGTCACCGGGGATTCGCGGAAGCGCGGCTACAACCGCGTCGTCGGTCGGCGCCGGAAGCGGCCGCTCGCCGCCGCTGGCACGAAGCACAGATACGCCTCCAAGTCCTCGGATGGCCTCGGATATCTGCTCTCCAACCATTTCCTCCGGCAAAGCCATTAGGAAGTCAGCGTCGATGCCAGTCATAGACAGAATGTGTCTCTGAGTCAGATTCAAGCAAGTCACGAGTCCGCGCAAGGATGCGATACTATAATCTAAATCTGGTTCTTCTGTCTCCGCTGCTGGCGGATCCGCTGCTGGCTGTTCTCCCGCATTTTCGCTAGAGTCCACTACGATTGCGGTGCTGCTCTCGTCATTGGCGCCATCAGCTGCTGCTGGAGCACTGCCGTCAGTCGGAGCTGCGGGCGCACTACTCTCAGCAGGTCCTTCTCCCGAAGGAGCAGGCACTGAACTACTCTCAGAAGCGGCAGCTCCCGAAGCAGCGGACTCTTGTTGCGCTCCCTCAGCGTTGTCCGTCGCGGACGAAGCGCTCCCATCGGCCAGTACCGTCTCGGACGACGCTACCGCAGCCTGATTGCCAGACCCGCTGTCAATTCCAATGGTCTCGGTTTGAGGCTCTGCAGCCATTGCCAAGTCTGCGGATGGAGCCGCTGGCTCTGACTCTTCCGGGACGGATGCATCAGCCATAGATGCATCGGCCATGGAGGCATCTTGCGAAGCCGCCGGCGCTCCCGCTGCGGCTCCAGCATCGGCTGTGACGGGTTCCATTTCGGCATCTGTCGCCGCATTCACAGCAGAAGCAACATCGGCAGTAGCTTGAGCGGCCACAGTCGCGTCAACCACAGTCAGTCCAGCCTCGGTAAAAATTGCCGCTTCAGCTCTGGCAAGAGCTGCCCCAACAGCATCAGACACAGCCTCAGCACTCGCAGGAGCGTCCGCAGATGCGTTTGGTGCGACTGCCAGACTCGACGACGCGTCGGCTGCTGCAGAAGCGGCTGGCTCGGACGGTTGTGCAGCAGTGTCTGCAACTGGCGGCGGTGCGTCCGTAAGCATCGGCCCCGCGAGCATGTTGTAGGCCAATGCCTGGCTAATCCGCGCCGCACGATATGCGAGCTCCAGGCGATGTCCCCCGGCTTCCTGCGCAGAACCTGTAGTATCAATCCATGAAAATAAATAGAGGAAGGCAGAGGTTTGCAAAATGGGTAACGGTCTTGACATCGGGAGACTCATAGCAACAAGGGTGCTATGCACAGCCGTATTTCCAAGAGACCTAACCAAGGCGACCTTGACCCTACCGTCTTATTTCCACAAGATATCGAGGCCACCTTGACCTCAGAGAACTTTCAACGTCAGAATTCGTGTCGGAAAAGACGATACAAACTACGGAGAGCTCTCACACAAGGTAGACATCCGGACAACCGTTTCTCCTATTCTTCTACGACACAAACAACATGGAGACGCATCAATAGCACCCATTTGAGACAGGTGCCAGATGCTGCCTCGTGTGTCAGAGTTGGCTGATAGCCTGATACAACAGTGACGATCTTGTTGGTCCTAGAGCATACGAGCACGTAGCACAGTAGAGCTTGACTTAGCTCACTTGTCGAATGGCCCTAAGAGCGCTTCTGCATTAGTGGCCTTCAGAGAGCAAAGCTATTTTAGAGGAATTCCGAATTGCCTGAGAGCCGATTATGGTGTGTCGGAAAAGACGATACAAACTACTGAGAGACTCTATGAGAGCAGAAGAGCTTCAGGACAGCCGTTTCTCCAATTATTCTACGACCTGGAAGCTGGATCAATACGCCGTACATCATAGAAAAGCGCAGAGCACAGCATCACTTGTGATCGAAAGAACTCCAAACGATTTGAGCCGCGACCGTCGGTTTGTTCCAGAACTTCGCTTTGCTCGTAGGTGTTCTTACATTCGTGGCCCCCAGGAGCTGCGCCATCTCCAAAAGGCGGCACGTCAAGAGTCACACGCTAAGAACCACATCACTCGAAGCAACGAGATCAAAGATGAGATAGTCGAACTGTATAGTAAGGATAAGGTGTAATACGTGTGGCTGATAACGGGTAAGGTATGTTGGCTTGCGTCGATCGGCCAATGTCCTCTGGTGGCGCCAGGACGGGATATTGTGGAACGCGGAGGCGGTCGACCGCTGGATCTTCGATATTGTAAAATCGATCTTCGTGATTCGTCAGCAATTCTATGACCTGCTCCGTGTGCGGAAACGGATTGCTCGAGGACGAGTATGCGCTGGTAACTGTGATCATCGTGTTGTGAATTTTCAGAAGGAAGTTGAGAATTGACGTTATGCACTGACTGAAGACGAGAAGTTGCGAGTTTTCGTTTTCCGAACTATGCTGGTTGCCTCTCCCAATCATGAGCAAACCGTATACCAGAAAACAAGACAACACGACCCGACAATTCCAAATTCCTCAACAATTATTAGTTAAGTACTGTCAAGCAGCCCACTTGCTGCAGCTGCGTCGGACGATCCGTTCGAAAGCTATGGAGGTAGTTTTTTCTCCCATTCTTAACAGGCCATCGAGCCTTCGCCTTTACTACGTTAAACACACTCTCGCGGGGAACTGGGATAGATGGAAAGTGAAAATGTTCCCACTATCCACATTCCATCACTGACTAAAAAAACACTCGTCGGCAGTGGTCTGTTACAAGAAATGGGAGAAAAACGACGTCCATAAAAGAGTGTTGCCAAGAATTCGCAAGAGCTTCCTTCGGTGGCGCAGGAATTCTGGCAGTATAAAGTTCGTTTCGTAGAGGGTTCCGAAATACGGATGCACTCCATCATGCTTCAACTCGACCGACCAGTCTGCTGCCATCAATATCTGCGCCATACAGCCTGAAATCTTGTTCAGGTTTTGCTCACTACGAGGATCCTGCAACGCCACTCCGAACTCCTGCATACCCGCAAAAGGATCCACCCCTCCAGGGCCTAAAGCCACCAAGTGACTGCGGCTCTGCTTAGAAAGTGTGCTTGAGCGACTTCTTGCAACAAATTGTATCTGCATATTCTACCAAGTCACAACCAAGCTGTTCCAGACCCTTGCTAAACTGCGCTCGGACCGTCAAATTCTTGTGTACTTTTGTCTCATGCTCCCGCGTATATACTTAACTTCTAAATGATACTGCCAAATCGTTGTAACAGAATTCACTTTATAATTAAGGCATTTAGTTGTAACCAGCAGCTGTTCTTAACTTGATTTCCTCCTTGCCTTCTCGACACCCGTTGCTGCACGAGCAACGGATTCTCCGCAGTGATTTGCATAGGCTGGCTTCCGAAAAAATCTAGGAAACCTCCTGCCTCAGGACCACCGGCATCTGCGACAGCCCGCAGCATTTCCTCCGCGGCCAGCTCGTCCTCAGCCTCCTCTTCCTCCCACATACCGTCACCCTCGAGGTCAATTTCATCGTCTATACCATCAGCTTCGAAAGGAGGCAGATTTCCGTCTCCCAGTGCACCAGGGCCATGATCTAGCACGCGGGCGAAAAAGCGAGCAATGAAGGAGGTGCAGCAAAGGGTTCGTTTATGGGTGCCGTTCGTTATTACGCCTCTATCATTTTACGAGAGAGAGATCCCCGACCTGTCTTTTACATGTATTAGCTAACCGACTTGTCTTTTACATGCCTTAGCTAAAATCGAAAAGAGCTCTACCAAAACCGGTTTACCCGGAGGACCGTCTATACAGCAAACCCACTGTTCTTTTTCTTTATAAACTCTTTGTAAATATGTCCTCGATCTCCTCTTTCGAAGGCCATGTGCATTCTTTTTCTATCTGAGAAAGCATGTCGCCAAAAATATCAGAACCAAGCACTAAAGTTTTGTACTATGAGATATCTTCAATCATAACAGTATCGTCGAAGCCGTCGGGTAGACCAGGTATGCCCCCACCGCCTCCCAAAAGTGGCGCACTTTCCGGAGCTCCTGCCCTTTCCTCATTAGAGTCGGCTTTCATTCATCTCGGCCCCCATATCTCGACCCTTCTCTTCCCTTGTGAATTTCATGATAAAAATACTTACAGGGGAACAAAACGGTAAATGCAGAAGTTGAATCAGCTTTGCCTCTGCCTCGTCATGCTAGGAGTTGTATGTATTCCAGTCAGTTAGAATGGTGGACACGAGATGTTGATCATAACCTCAGCAAAGTCTCCTCCCTCTTCGTCGTAGTCTTCCTCGTCCATGTCCTCGTCGTCCATGTCCTCGTCGTCAATGTCTTCCTCGTCGTCCATCTCTTCTTCCTCGTCCATCTCTTCATCGTCCCCACTATCCGCATGATGCGGTGGCGGTGGTACCCCAGCCCTGTCGTACGGTTCGAGTCCTCCCACGTACCTGGTACCTCCCAGGCTCCCGTCGGCTCCTGGGTGGAAGCGTGTCGAGTGAACAGCTGTGTGCTGGAAGACACCTGACGCGTCACGCGCCTCGTCCACGTCGCTTTCCTCGTCTTCGCTGTCCTCACTCGCACGACCACCACGACCTCCACGCCCAGAACCCTGGCCTCGGTCATCTTGTTCGGTGAGAATGTCGCTGGAGGGAAGATCCGAGACGCCGTGCGCCAATAGACCTTCAGCGTCGTACATTTCGATGGTGCTTTCGCTAGCCCCGCGTCCTCCAAAGCCTAACGTTCCCAAATTAGGTCCTCCGGCATTGCTTTCGTCGATATTACTTTCGTCCAGCGAGATTGTGCGCTCCACTCCTGCTGCTGCCAGGTTTGTGGGAGTTGGTCCGCCGTTCGTCGCTCCTCGGCCGAAGCTAACGTCGCCGATCAGACGAACTGAAGACCGCGCCGACTTACTAGTACTATGGGCACCACCAACTTTGGGCGGTTTCAGCACTGCCGCGTGCATCGCTCGAACCGCGCGAAGACTGGAAACCTTGTTGTTGTGCGCGTTGAAGCCGTTCAGAAGGTACGCAATTTCTGGCCGAACCAGGTTTTCCATCGCACTGAGCACGCAACCCGTGTATACAATCGACATCCGCGTCTCAAAATTAATTCGGGGAGCTGCATCTACTGCTCCTGCACCGAACGTTGTGGCAGGAACCACCATCATCCTGGAAGCAGAGGACGAAGAAGATGCTGTACCTCCTAGATCTACTCCTGAAGAAGAGGACGCACTGTGGTGAGCAACCGCACGGGCCTGATCGGCCGGGAGAAACGTGGCGAAGAAAGATCGAAGTTCCGCGTAGAGAGGCACAATTTGTGCGTACTCGGCTTCCAAGGTGTGCGTTTCAGCCAGGCATCGAGCGTATCGGTTCAAGTTCTGCTTCGCTGTCTCTTTTTCGGCAGCTGTCATGTTCTGCACTGCTGAAGCAGCGTCTTCCAGCGTAGTACCAGCATCCTTCTCACCATCTTTTGCTCCTGTACTTTTCTCTCCACCTGCGATATCAGTCGTAGTAGGACCAGAATTAGAGGCCGCGGGTAACGATGCACTCTGTGCGGCACCTACAACACTCTCCCCCGTCGGCTTCGCGGACTTCTTGTTCGTTTTCTGGGTCGTTGTCTTGTTCGATGTTGATGATGCGTCCTTTTTGTACTTATCAACGAGTTGCTGCAGTTTTCCCTTCACGTCCACTTGCTTCTTTTGCAGAGCGCGGTAGTCGCGCTTGTAGAGAAAGCTGTTGAGCGACGTTACCTTCGTTACCAGAATGGAGCACGTCATTACCAGGCGCAAAAGCCCTCGGTCGACGTCGAAGACTGATGGCAGCGGCTCCAAAACAAGGACAGGAACGCCTGGATTTGACCCTGGATTTGACGTACTGTAGGTGGAAGTAGTCGTAACTACACCCGCACTATGCTGTTGTACTTGTACACTGTCAACGTCCATTGGTCGCGGCCGTTCTAGACTGGTTGCGGGTTCTTGTAGCGGTACTTGGGTGGTCGTCGCTACCGCAAGAGTGCCACCTGCTCCGACAAAGCCCGGCGGCGGGCTAGCACCATCAGCCCCTGACACCGCCAACTGTTGTTCGGTGAGGAGTGGATCCAGCTTGCGTATCTTGCTCGGCGGACTGTTGCTGCTATTAGTGCCCGTACTCACGTTTCCCTCGGATCCAGCAGGCGTGCGGGCCGCCGACTCCGGCAGACTGCCGTTGTAGTTGAAGTTACTGCCACACACCAAATCCACTAGTCCCGGCTGCAAGTTCAGCCGTGCTTGGTCGTCGAGATCATTCTGCTTGCTCCGCCCGTCTGCTTGTTTCGCCGCCCGTCGTGAAAACGCACTCGGAGCAGCGGCAATGTGTGAAGCCTGTGCTTTGATCAGTTTATCAGCCTGCTGCAGGACTCCGTTCACCTCCTGCAAGAATTTGTAACGATACTCGCTGCTAGAAACGTTCAACGAAGCCACCAAATACCGCAAGACGCGCGTGCTTTCTGCGATTGTCAAGCACGACCCATTGGAACGCCGAAGCGGCATTACAGTGTTTTCTTCCGACACTAGTGGCACAGGACAAAGAGGCATCTCTCGAAGCTCCATGCCGAGGTCGATTATGGTGCACGATGGCAGAATCTGCCGCAGAAGAAGCCCCACTGTGCTCTGCGTCTCCCAAGGCTTTCCTGGCCCAACGCTTTGGGTTGCACCACAAGACGGGAACTTATCAGATGCGTCATGCTTCTGCTCAGCGACTCGGCTCGAAGGTAGACGCCCGATCGACGACAGCACTGCTTCGTACACGTCAAAACGAGCTGGAAACTCTGGCACATTGTAATCTACTCGCGTCGCAGCTAGCGCGACTACTGAAGTCGTTGCGCCGCTTCCATTGGGCTCGAGACCCCTCGGAGTTACATCTCCTGGCCTAGAAGTCGCCACATTAGATGGACCTGTCTCGTTGGCATCGCTGGTTTCTTTTTGTTGTTTCCGGCAGAAATGCAGCAGCTCAGTCGCAAGGTCGCCCTGTAATAGCATCAGACTGTTCAGCAAGTGAGGCTGCCCTTGGGCCAAGGTTGTAATTGCGTACACCAAGTGGTCCAGACCGAAGAGCAAAGGCCATTTACGACTCGTTCCGTCAGCCGATTGCTCCAACGCCTTTCGCACCTTGCTTGATGCAAAATTCAGTGCTGGCATATTTTGACTGGCGTCTTCTAGTGCGTTTCTGCTAATGTTCGAGGACATCGCTTTGCTTCTCGCTGCTGCACTGAAGCCAGAACTTATTGCGGCTTGATTCGAGGAAACGACAAGTGACTGCGCGCGCACAGCTTCGTACTCGCGACGAAGCAACAGCGCGTCCTCGTACACGCCCAACTGCTCGTAGAGTTCATGGACAGTTTCCAGCTGCTTGAACAACTGGAGCAAAACCAAATGGGCGCGTGCTTGCTGCGTACTTCCAACAGCCGGCTGGGACACTTGCTTCTTCGTAAACAAGTGGCTGTGCTCCGTATGATCTCCTGAATGCTTACAAGCGTTGCCTGGTGCAGCAAGCGTAGTCGTCCCTGCCTGCTGGGTTCCAGCAGAGGTTCCTCCAGCAGGACCTGGTTCCGCGCTGATCGCAGACGAGCCCGACATCCCATCTCTTGGTGCTGCCAGAGTTCCTCCAGTTGCTGCCAACGGTGATTTCTTCGACATCGCGCCGCTGCTGCTACTTGGGCCTGCTCCTGTTGCAGTGTCTTTGCTGATTTTCCGATGAGGTTTGTTCTTTGCGTCCTCTCGTAGCAATTGCAGTTCGAATTTTTTTGCTTTCAAGGAGTTCCGATTCGGCAACTTTATTGCCCCTTCTGCTGGCGTCTGCTTTTCATCTTTACTTCTTACTCGCCTACACATCTCGCACAAAGCTTCCTCAAACGCGCCATGTGCATCCCGGTTCAGTGTGCGCTGAACCTGCGCTGTGAGATCGTCCAGGGTGACAATGACGTCGTACTCGCTGGCGACACCCTTCTTGCGCATGCGCGCGTGAAAATGAGCCAAAATGTCCTTTTTGAGGCGGTCTTTCAATTGCGTGCGGTCCTCCAAAGCGTGCTGCATGATTTCTGTGACCAGTTTGAGACAACCGGCAAACTTACTCGACCGAGACAATCGATTCAACAAAACGCCCAGTCCACTAAGTCGAAACGTCGGACTACTCTGTTGTTGATGATCCTGGTGAAGACCTTCTACACCTCCAGGAGATGCCTCCTTGCATGCCGAGTCCCTAGGAGATGAGTCACCTCCCGAAGAAGCTATGTCGTAGTCGCGCAAGTCCTCTACCATGGAAACTGCGCACGCATATTCGCGATGTGTGAGGGAGTGAAGGAGCTGGACTGCAACCGCTGCACATCTTGGGCGCAGAGCTGGGTGACGTACTAGGACGTCCAACACTGTGCCTTGCAACCGCACGAGGGACGAGGTGTACAGGGGGCCTGGATGCCCTATAATGGCGTCGCTCACGCGCCTTTCCTCGAATTCTTCTCGTATTGCTTCCAGTGGTAGCACCAACTCGTCGTAGATTCGTTGCTTTGCCTCGTTGCTAACGTTGTAAAAGCTAGGAAACGTCATCCCTTTCGCATCAACTTTTTTACCCGATGAAACAACAGCAGCGCCGTCTTCCTTATTTCCTAAGTGCGACGTCTTCGCATCAGCCATATCCACGTCTCCGGGATCTGCTTTTGTTTCTGCTCTCCTTGTGTTCTCATTGTCCTTCGTCGAATCCATCTTCAACAAGCTAGGATAGGTAACACCTTTAATGACATTCTGAAGAAACTTGTCGCAAATTTGCCGTCGCTCCGCCATCTCCAGCACTTGCGGATCCTCGCCTCGAATCAGATGCGCAAAGCAGTCGTAGAGCTGTCTTGGTTCTTGTTCTTCTTTTTTCTTTTTGTCCAGTTGTTTCTGTTTCTCCTCAACATCTCCTTTTTGTGCTCCTGGTAGTGACATATTCTTCTTCTCATCGGAAGGTGGTGCTTCATGTATTTGCATCATTTTCCTCACTTGTGCGATCATCTCATTTTCCTCCATCTTGCCTCGTGATCCTGGGGCCCCCCCAGCTCCCCCGAAGGAACTAGTCGCCGGTACAGCACCAATGCGCCCTCCGGCTCCGAAAAGTTGATAGAAGCTTAGCTGCCCTCTTTCCTCGGTCCCTTCATGCGCTTCGATTAGACTTTTTCCTGCTCCATTGGACGCGGGATTGCCGCTGGACGCGGGATTACCGCTAGCGCCATCGCTCTCTTCCGGTTTGTTCTCTAGTGCCTGTTCCCCAAAAATGTTGGAGCCTAGTTGTAGTTTGACAGAGGAGGAGGAGTTGTTGCCAAGATCGTCTTCTCCTTTGTTCTTTTTGTCGCCTTCTTCTGTCTTTTTCCTTGCAGCAGGATGAGCTTCTTTTTGGTTCGAAGCGCCAACGACGAGGGCAATAACGAGCACCATCATGTCCTCAACGGACAAACCCTCTTGCTTCCACAAGTCTTTCATTCCTTGAAGAATAGGCATTTTGGACAGAACTTCTCCAGCCTTGTGGAGTCCCGCATTGCTTATCATCCTATTCTTGTGCTGCGACGTCTGAGAACTAGAATTGCTCTTATGTCTGTTGTTGTTATCAGCACCATCGCGGAGCGGGAACATGCCATTCGCATTCGGTCGCTGCCCATTGGTCGTGGATGATGTTGTCGGACCTCCAGAAGAACTACTCTGTGCTCCCCCACCTTGCTCTGCAGAAGAACTCTGTTCTCCCTGAGGCGAAGGTTCTTCCGCCTTCTGTCGTTGGAACTTTTCACTCCGAGTCTCACAGTAGTGTGACAGAAGCTGTTGAAGATGGAACGGCCAAGGCACCCTATCCTGTGTCTGCGTTATCTTGAGCCAGCTTCGTACCATATCGTTATCAGTTTGATCCATACCGTGATGCCGCATGCGGGTTAGCAGTTCTTCCGCCTCCGCTGTTTTGAGTGCGTTTGCAAGACCAGCTCGTAGGGGTACTCGCATTCCTCCCTTTTCTGTGCCTATCAAAGCTGTAATCGAGTCAATCGCCTTCTTAAACCGCGCACTTGCATCACCATCCGCCGCGCTAGTGTTCATTTTTTGAGAAGTAGTATCATTCTGTTCAACATTATTTTCGCCATCCCCTACGACTCTTCCATTCGATGTTGCCTGGAGATTGTCAGCCTCCATATCTTCAACAGCCACTAGACCTGTAGAAGCTGTCGCACTTGCTTCTTTCTGTGCATCAACCTCGTGTCCGACTGCAAGGGCGCCTTTCGCCGACAAGAAATACTCCACAACCGCATCGGCCTCCTGAAGCAGCCTCATCGTCGATTCTTCTACTCGGCCTCTCAACTCCTCGTCTTCCACTAGCTTCTGCTTCTTGTCCTTTTCTGCTTCGAGCAACGTTGAGAGGCGCACCAAGGCTGACGGGGAACTGTACTCTGAGCTGTCCTTCTCCGCTTCTTGAGGAACTGTAGTACCATGATCATCTTCTGAAGATGTCTTCATCTTCGTGTCAGCATCCTCTTCAGACGGCTTCATATTATGGATGTGGATGCTGTATTTGCGGAGCGACGACCAGTCAGTGGAGTTCTTTCGCGACATAGTATGCTGAAGCAGAAAGCTATGGAGACCACTGGGTGCCAAGCGCGCATGAAAGATCTCTGTGGTGCCAGCAACGGGATCGTACTCGACTAGCTTGCCTGTCAGCTCAGCCAGCGTTTCACTCTTTTCGAGCAACAAATTGAGACAC